CATTTAATCTTTGGACAAGGCTGCTGTGTCCCTCACTGCCAGGCCCTCATGTCAGTGGGTCCCTCATGTCAGTCAAGATTTCTAGGTAGCATTATTGTAAATCAGATAAAAATAAACTCCTAGTTCCATTAAACTTTGCTCAGAGTATGTTTTTACTGGAGATTTGAACTGCCAGTAGTTAACTGGCAAGATATTGGCCTCCATTGGGGTACTTGCCACAAACTAACTGCAGTTTAATTGTGGATAATAATCACAGAATGTAAGGGGTTGGAAGGGACCTCGAAAGATCATTGCCTCAGTCTTTAGCGGCAATACTGGTTGTTCTCTGGATACCTAGTACCCTGAGCTGGTGGAAGGGGATGGGGAGCAGGATGTGGCCCTCACCATCAATGAAGAACTGGTTGGTGACCTGCTACGGCACTTGGATGTGCACAAATCGATGGGGCCGGATGGAATCCACCCAAGGGTACTGAGAGAACTGGCAGAGGAGCTGGCCAAGCCCCTATCCATCATTTATCAGCAGTCCTGGCTATCGGGGGAGGTCCCAGCTGACTGGCGGCTAGCAAATGTGACGCCCATCTACAAGAAGGGCCGGAGGGCAGACCCGGGGAACTACAGGCCTGTCAGTTTGACCTCAGTTCCAGGGAAACTCATGGAGCAGATTATCTTGAGTGTCATCACGCGGCACTTACAGGGCAAGCAGGCGATCAGGCCCAGTCAGCATGGGTTTATGAAAGGCAGGTCCTGCTTGACGAACCTGATCTCCTTCTATGACAAAGTGACGCACTGGGTGGACGAGGGAAAGGCTGTGGATGTGGTCTACCTTGACTTCAGCAAGGCTTTTGACACCGTCTCCCACAGCATTCTCCTCAAGAAACTGGCTGCTCATGGCTTGGACTGGCGTACGCTTCGTTGGGTTAGAAACTGTCTGGATAGCCAGGCCCAAAGAGTCGTGGTAAATGGAGTCAAATCCAGTTGGAGGCCAGTCACTAGTGGCATCCCCCAGGGCTCGGTGCTGGGGCCGGTCCTCTTTAATATCTTTTTCGATGATCTGGACGAGGGCATCGAGTGCACCCTCAGTAAATTCGCAGATGACATCAAGTTAGGTGCATGTGTCGATCTGCTCAAGGGTAGGAAGGCTCTGCAGGAGGATCTGGATAGGCTGCACCGATGGGCTGAGGTCAACTGCATGAAGTTCAACAAGGCCAAGTGCCAGGTCCTGCACTTGGGGCGCAATAACCCCAAGCAGAGCTACAGGCTGGGAGATGAGTGGTTGGAAAGCTGCCAGGCAGAGAAGGACCTGGGAGTGATGGTGGACAGTCGGCTGAATATGAGCCAGCAGTGTGCTCAGGTGGCCAAGAAGGCCAACAGCATCCTGGCTTGTATCAGAAACAGTGTGACCAGCAGGGCTAGGGAGGTGATCGTCCCCCTGTACTCGGCTCTGGTGAGGCCGCACCTCGAATACTGTGTTCAGTTTTGGGCCCCTCGCTACAAGAAGGACATCGAGGTGCTTGAGCGGGTCCAGAGAAGGGCGACGAAGCTGGTGAGGGGCCTGGAGAACAAGTCCTACGAGGAGCGGCTGAAGGAGCTGGGCTTGTTCAGCCTGGAGAAGAGGAGGCTCAGGGGTGACCTTATTGCTCTCTACAGATCCCTCAAAGGAGGCTGTAGTGAGGTGGGGGTTGGCCTCTTCTCCCACGTGCCTGGTGACAGGACGAGGGGGAATGGGCTTAAGTTGCGCCAGGGGAGTTTTAGGTTAGATGTTAGGAAGAACTTCTTTACTGAGAGGGTTGTTAGGTACTGGAACAGGCTGCCCAGGGAGGTGGTGTAGTCACCATCCCTGGAAGTCTTTAAAAGACGTTTAGATGTAGAGCTTAGGGATATGGTTTAGTGGGGACTGTTAGTGTTAGGTTAGAGGTTGGACTCGATGATCTTGAGGTCTCTTCCAACCTAGAGATTCTGTGATTCTGTGATTCTGTGATCATCGGGTCCAACCCCCCTGCCAAAGCAGGTTCCTTAGAGCAGGCTGCCCAGGTAGGCATCCAGACAGGCCTTAAATATCTCCAGAGAAGGAGACAATAATGGTTAATAATAATAACGGTTAGCTGATAATCACGACGGAAACTTCATTTCCTTCTTAAAACTCCTAACCTCTCTGCTGGTAAGGGGCGGGGGGAGTTCACATAACCTATTTGTCCTTGCCTTACTGGGGCCTCCCTAAGAGGATACATAGGAGTGTTAGTACTGCTAGTATCAGGGAAGGGGAAACTCTCAATCTCTCTTCTACCTTGTTCTAATTCTTGCTAGAGCCTAGAGTGCACTCCTCTAGGGACAGCGTTAATTCAGTCCCTGGCTCCCTTCCTGGAGTGGCTGCTGTTGCCACCGGTGCAATATTAGGATTAGAGGGAAGGGGTAAATTATCCAAGGGTTCCCATCCTTCCTTCTGACTCTTCTTTCTCCTGGTCCTGACCCATTTTCACTAACTGACTTACCCCCTGCACCCAGCAAGCAGCATAACTCCTCCAAAAAAGGAGTCTTATTGTTTACATATATATTTAAAGTCCGAATATTCATCAGACCGGAATTTTGGTCAAAATACTGCTGTTTTCTTAATTGGTTCCTTTGTCCAGATTAATACACAGTATTTAATCATTTTCTTTTTATAATTTCCCCTAATTTGGGGATTATTTTTCCAATTTCTTATCATTCTTCCTGAAGGACTGTCAGTAGGCACTCCCCCAGGGATATCTCCCTGTCCCCTGGAACCCTTATTTCCCATTTTTCCTAGTCCTTGTCAGTGTGCTGCTACAGAATTTTTTTCCTCCTGCAGGGTACCACACACTAACATTCCAGTTATAGAAAATGGGGGTGTACTGCCAAGCACTTTACCGTGCAAGGGGGTACCGTACTCCAGACTTCCCCAAGACTCTTCCTTTCTCACTTTTAACTTTCGCTTTGTACGTCTCCGGCCACACCCATCACAGAGCTACAGAATCGGGGACTGGGACTCCACACTCACTTCATACAAAAGTACATCCCCATCACACTTCACACAAGAGTCTTACCCGACCACCAAGGCAATATTTAATATTTCTTACCTCAGTCTGTGCACAGAGTTACCGGGTCAGTTCTCAAAACAGGAGTGCCTACCTTCCTTTCTTCCCTAATTCTTCACCAATCCTGCCTTCTTAACCAGTCTCGGTTCCTTTGTCAGTTCTCTGCAGAACCACCATCACCAAGGCACAGGACTGCTGAAATCAGTGGGGCGTGCCGTCCTGCTGCGGTGGTAATGGGGCTCCCCAGAAGGTTACTGGATCCCAGATGAGCCCCCAATTTGTGAGAAACAATCTGTAGCCAATAACACAGGTTCAGGCAAGGATCTCAGTGAAGTAGCATTTTTATTCACAATTGCAATGGTGGATGTTCTGCAAGCAGGAGTGCACAGCAAAAGCATATCATAACCTTATATTCCCTATTACCTGATGCTTGATTCCTCCCCTGTTTCCTCATAAGCTGAGTACTACAGGTTCACAAACTATTTGACCCTTATTATTATACCATATATGTACAATTTTATTTGACCAACCCTTAATTTCTCCTTTTCCTTTTTTTTTTTCCTTCTTATCTCATGGCTAGAAGGCCTGTGATTTTTTTTTTAACTGATTTGGCACTGCTCATCTTGTTTTTCTTAGCTATCCTCCTTATCGTGGGATAGTGGGACCTTCCCCTTACCTGCTTTACATACTCCCCACTGCTATGCCTCTGTTATGCCTGCAGAATCACTTTTGAATACGCAAGGTTAGTGGAATTTTACACTGCAAAAACACCTGCTATTGCAAAAATACAACTTTGTTTCTCACACGATCACTACATGCCCTGACAAAGAGGCCATCCCCCTCTTTCCTGTAAGCCCCCTGAAAGTACTGGAAGGACACTATAACGTCTCCCAAGAGCCTTTTCTTCTGCAGGCTGAACAGCTCCAGCTCCCTCAGCCTGTCTTCATAGGAGAGGTGTTCCAGCCCTTTGATCATCCTCATGGCCCTCCTCTGGACTCATTCTAATAGGTACATATCCTTCTTATATTGGGGGCCCCAAAGCTGAACACAGTACTCACGAGAGCAGAGTAGAGAGGGAGAATCTCCTCCCTTGACCAGCTGGTCATGCTTCTTTTGATGCAACTGAGGATACAGCTGGCTTTCTTGGCTGCGAGTGCCCATTGCCTGCTCTTGTCGAGCTTCTCATCAACCAGCACTCCCAAGTCCTTCTCCTCAGAGCTGCTCTCAATCCATTCTCCACCTAGTCTGTATTTGTACTTGGATTGCCCTGAGCCAGGTGCAGGACCTTACACATGACCTTCATGAGGTTTGCACAGGCCCACTTCTCAAGCCTGTCGAGGTCCCTCTGGATGGCATCCCTTCCCTCCAGTGCATTGACTGCACCACACAGCTTGATGTCATCGGCAAACTTGCTGAGGTTGCACTCAATCCCACCATCCATGTCACTGACAAATATGTTAAACAGCACTGGTCCCAGTACTCACCCCTGAGGGACACCACTCATCACTGTTCTCTACCTGGACATTGAGCCACTGACTGCAACTTTGAGTGCGACCATCCAGCCAATTCCTTAGCCACTGAGTGATGCATCCATCAATTTAGAGACAAGGATATTGTGTGAGAAATCATTGCATGCTTTACACAAGTCCAGGTAGATGACAGCAGTTGCTTTTCCCTTATCTACCAATTCTGTAATCCCATCATAGAAGGCCACCAGATTTGTCAATTTGTTCCTGTAAACACAGTTAATCAGAAAAAATGCTCAACACGTTGTAAAACAAGAAAAACTGAAGCAACAGAGTAGCTCCAACCACATGCCAGTGTAGACATTTATCTTCCCTAATTATGTTGTGTATTAAAATTTAGTACATAGAGTTTAATATTTTTATGGTTAAATATGAGAAACGTACACTGTAGAAAAATACCAGCTAAAAACAAGAGCCCACACACACTTTTAGTTTAAATTTAATTTGTCAGATAGATGTTATCTATGTACAATCAGTGTGCATTGTAACAATTCTATTAATAAAGTAATTCAAATCTTCTAAAATATTATCTGGCTGCATAGCACATTTGATGTTATTGCCCATTTTAAGAGGGAAAACAAATGGATGTACAATAAATTTTGGCTAATTTGATTCTTAAGTGTTCAGATATTGAACACTCCTCCTTTAAAACTAATGGATCGGAAAAAAACTTTCCAGAACACAATTTAATTCAATATTTCTCATCATTTCATTACAACAAATCACGATATTGACAGTTTAATAGAAACAAACAAACAAACAAACAAAAAAACATGTATCTGAATTATCAAATAAAAAAGGGGCACAAAAGGAATAAAAATGTTCCCTTTCCCCATTTCTACATTCTGAACAGTGTTTTCATCAAGATATTTTATTAAAAAGAATTAGCACACTGACTTTTTTTTTCATACTTGTGACAAGAAGGCCTGAGCTGGTGGGGAAAGGAACAAGAGAAAAAAAAAAAGTTAATTTAATTAATTTGCAGTGATTTATTTTCATTTATTTATTGTAAAAAGGCATTATTACAACTGATCACAGAAGAAATCCTGGCTATGTTACAGTTATAGATAAAGAATTTAAATATTCGAGCTTGTTATGAAAAGCGGCAAGGTGGTTGCAGTTTAAAATGTAAACATACAGTTTTGGAAAGTGAGAATTCTTTACTAAGAAAACAAAGCAAACTCCTCATTCCTTCTTGAAACATGACCATATGTCAGTGTTTAAAAATTCATTTATAAACAATTTAAACTGTGTTCAGCCTAAAAACAGTTTTATAAGATCCAGTCTTGATGGGATAGTGTTGAGGTCCCTGTAAAAAAAATAAAAAATAAAAATAAAAAAAGAGAAAAAGTGCCACAACATTTGCAGCACTGTGCAGCATAAACTTTAAATACAAAAATATTTTTCTTTTGTTGGGATAACAGACCTTGCATCCTGGGAAGAAGTAACAATACTGTTACTGATAGAATATCCAGTCTTTCAAGTCACATAAGGCAATTACTGTGTTAGCTTACTGTATATGGCTAAAAGAAGGTCCAGAAAATGTCAGTCTTTGTTATGTTTTTCGGCTACTCCATGTATGTTCAGGTGTATTTTTGTGATCTGATGAGTGTTCAAATGGAGATCTTGAACCATAAGGAGACTTCTGATCTAATGGTGACCTTGAGCCACTACCAGAAGCTCTGTGGTCCATTTGCCAGTCTGAGTGGTACCTATAATCTCTGGAAGATTTATGATGGCTGTACTCTGAAATTGAACAGGGATCTGAATGCATCCTGTGGTCTGAATGGGAATGGTGATCTGAATGAGGCCTACTATCTTTTAAACTTCCTTCTAGGTTTGACCTGTGATCTCTGCTCATGTGGTCATCCAACTTCCTATGTTTACTATCACTATAGTATCTGAAACAAACAAACAAACAAAACACCAGTATATTAGTATTACTGAATACACGGTAAGAACTACAATTATGTCAGTTCGACAGAACTGCATTAGAGAACTTTCTTTGCAATTCTGTATTAATCAAAACAAAACAAAACAAAACAAAACACTTTGTTGCTTACTACAAGCAGGCTACAGGAAGGGAATTCTTAAGAGACTTTACAATAGCTGAAGCAACTTACCTGCTGTCTTGTTTGTAGTGATCCCACTCTCTATGATCTTTTCCATTGCTGAAGGCTGAATACGGCCTTTTCCTAGAGTCAGTTTTCTTATAAGCAGCTCCCTGATGCCTGTCCTTATGATGATCATGGTATTGTGACAAATGTCTATCAGAAGAATAACTGTCCCTGCTACTGTCATCATGGTTTGTATTCTCTTTAATTCTTTCAACATCTGTTTAATAAAGTAGACAAAGGTTATAAGCCTTAAAGGAACCCTCAGGAAGTTTGCAGATGACACCAAGTTGGGGGGGGAGTGTCAATCTGCCAGAGGGTAGGAAGGGCCTGCAGAGGGACCTGGACAGGTTGGATCGAAGGGCAGAGGCCAGTGGGATGAGGTTCAACATGGCTAAGTGCCAGGTCCTGCACTTTGGCCACCTCAACCCCATGCAGTGCTATGGGCTTGGGACAGAGTGGCTGGAAAGCTGTGCAGAAGAAAAGGATCTAGGGGTGTTGGTAGATGCTCGCCTGAACATGAGCCAGCAGTGTGCCCAGGTGGCCAAGAAGGCCAATGGCATCCTGGCTAGTATCAGGAATAGTGTAGCCAGCAGGACCAGGGAGGTGTTCATCTCTCTGGACTCAGCTCTGGTGAGTCCGCACCTCGAGTACTGTGTTCACTTTTGGGCCCCTCACTTCAAGAAAGACATCGAGTCCCTGGAGCATGTCCAGAGAAGGTCTACAAAGCTGGTGAAGGGTCTGGAACACAAGTCTTCTGAGGAGCGGCTGAGGGAACTGGGGTTGTTTGGTCTGGAGAAGAGGGAGGCTCAGGGAAGACGTTATTGCTCTCTACAACTACCTGAAAGGCAGTTGTGGGGAGCTGGGGGTAAGCCTCTTCTCCCAGATAACTAGCGATAGGATTAGAGGGAATGGCCTCAAGTTGCACCAGGGAAGTTTCAGGTTGGAAATTAGGAGACATTTCTTCTCAGAAAGAGTAGTCAGACTTTGGAACAGGTTGCCCAGGGAGGTGGTGGAATCACCATCCCTGGGGGTGTTTAAGGAAAGGTTGGACGTGGTGCTTAGGGACATGGTCTAGTGGGTGATATTGGTGGTAGGGTGATGGTTGGACCAGATGATCTTGGAGGTCTTTTCCAACCTTAATGATTCTATGATTTTATAAGGAATTCTTATACACTATACATTTTTCTTCACCTAATTCAAACAGCACTTCTACCTGTCAGATTTAAAGCAATATGAAAATGACACTATCATTTGACAGAAACAAGATCTAAACAGTTTAAAGACAAATGCACTAATGTGAGTGAACTGAGAGAGACCTCAGAAGTAAATAGAAGGCATGCAAGCTAGGAATATGTAGGGCTGAGAAGCTAAGCTTTTCAGACTTATAAACTGAATGGAGAGGATGAGTGTGGTCCAAATGAGAGGTGAGTAGAGGCCTTCAACAGTGCACTTTTAGACAGAATGGTTGGAAGTTCCTCTCTAAGGAGAGAGAGCCGTAGCATGAACGTCAGTTCTAAAGGTACAACTTATTAATGAAACATATTATGTTCATTTTAAACCAATGATAACATACTCAAGTTTTACATTACATGATATAAAAATAAGTATTAAAAGAAGGTAAGTGTGGGAGCATAGAAAAACTGATTTTGTCAACAATAAAAGACATCCTATATTTCCTGAAATCATGGTGACATTACAACTGCTACAAATATGCACAGAGCCTCCAAGAAGTTTACAAGTTTTGAGTAGGCCTCTCTCCCTTGCCAAAATTAAATATAAATATTTGCTTTTTATTTATTTTAAAAGAACAGCCAAATAACTTGCTACTAAAATCAGTAAGTACCAGGTTCAGTCTCTGCTCAGTTGAATTTCATCAGCAAATTAGTGAAGTTATGCCAAGTCAGCCTATCCCTATTATATCCAGGAATATGGGAGTTCTAGGAAACATTTTTAAAACTTATTTCATTTTACATCCCACATTTAAGGTACATAGCACAAGAATATACTTAAGATTTCTTACCTGGATTTCTAATTACTTGTGTATTCACATTGCTGCTAATGTTCTGATCATTATGTTGCTGAAAGAGACAAGTACAGAAACTGTAATTGATAAATCCCAAAGTTGCATCGGAATTCTTCAGAAAATATCCTAACAAAATAGACTAGTTTACAATGAACAGAAAAATACACTTCAAGTAATCATTTTGTTATTGTTCCTTTGTTGTGGTTTAACCCAGCCAGCAGTTAATCACCACACAGCCTCCCCCCGCAGTGGGATGGGGGAGAGAATTGGAGAAAAGTAAAAGCTCGTGGGTTGAAATAAAGACAGTTTATTAGGACAGAAAAGAAAGGAAAATAATAATAATAATGATAATGATAATAGTATTACTACTACCAATGTGTACAAAATAAGAGATGTACAATGCAATTGCTCACCACCCGCTGACCAATGCCCAGCCTATCCCCGAGCAGCAGTTCCCCCCACCCTGGTCAGCCACCCCATATTAATTGTTCAGCATGACATCAGATGGTATGGAATATCCCTTTGACCAGTTTGGGTCAGCTGTCCTGGGTCGGTCCCCTCTCAGCTCCTGCTGCACCCCCAGCTTCCTCGCTGGCAGGACAGCATGAGAAGCTGAAAAGTCCTTGGCTTAGTGTAAGCACTGCTCTGCAGCAATTACAATATCGGTGTGTTATCAACATTATTCTAATCATAAATCCCAAACAGAGCACCCTACCAGCTACTAAGATGAAAATTAACTCTATCCTAGCTGAAATCGGGACATCCTGATAATCTATTAAACTGATAATATAAAAAAAAAGTTATAATAATTAGAATACAAATTTGTATAGAGAGAGTTTTAAAGTATTACCTGAGATTCTTGGCGTTTTTTGATTGCATGTTTATACAGTTTGTGCAGCTTTCTGGCATCAAATTCTGTAAACTTGGAGACAAAAATCCACAAGTTTCTGAGGAGAAAGAAAGAGAGGTTATAATTCTTCCATATATTAGTTTTTCATGTACAATACAAGAGAACGCAGACTTATGTTATTTCAACTTTACTTCAGTAAACTGAAATCATATTATGGATTTTCCTTTTTCCAAGAAAAAATTTGTAGAATAACTTACTTTCTCCATTGTTTAATTTGTTCAGGATTTGGGTACTCCTTTAGACATTCAGTAATATGGTCCCCAATTTTGATTAGGCACTGTCTAGTATGTTCTAGCTGTTCCCTTTCAGAAAGGCCTTTCTCTGGTCGATCCAGTTGTTTCAATGCTGCTTTGACAGGCCTCATTCTTTCTTTGCACTGTAAAATGGAAAAAAAGAAATACATTAATTCAAAGGGGAAAAAAATTCTAAAACATGACCCACCCTTACTGTGCTATTTATACAGGCAAAAACAGTACTGATCTAAGCCAAATGAAAAAGACTTCACTCACAGCCCATTACATTTAGTTTTACAAGAGGTTTAATTTGGAAAAAAAAAGTATTTGAAACCAAGTAGAAAATTTATTCTTAGATTATATGCATTAGATTATATGCAACACAGATAATAAATAAAACACTAATTTAATATAAAAAAATAAAAGGGAAAAGAATTATTATAATGCAGTTTTAAAATCATGGGTTTAACAGCACGAGTATATCAGACAAGACTTATATTACTTTTTAGGACCTTGAAAGCTATACAAACTCAGTGTCAAGATTCAGTATATTTCAAGTAGATACTTTCTGAAACAGTTAAACTTGGCATTCAGCAGAAGATAAGCATTCCTTCTCCGAGCAGTTTATAAGCCCGAGTTCTATGCAGATATTAAGAGAAACTAACATATCTAGGATAAAGATATGAACGACATACGAACAACTCCTCTGACGGCAGTCTCCCGTTAGCTAGGCTGCAATGGTCTCCACCAGGCACAGTGCGCTCTCCAGGAAGTCAGTACATACCCAGACCGACTGCCCATCCAAAAATGCAGCAGTTCAGGTCACTGGATGCGGGGAGTGTCTGATCCTGTTGCTGCCATCGGCAGGAGGCAGAGAGACTGTGTGCGTGAGGTGCGAGCAGGTGGACGACCTGGTCCGCATGGTGGCAGAACTCAAGGAGGAGGTGGAGAGGTTGAGGGCTATCGGGGAGTGCGAGCGGGAGATAGACTGGTGGAGCAACTCCCTGCAGGGCCTCAAGGAGAGGTACCGGGGTGAGACACCCCAAATGGGGGTGGACCCCCTGCCCTGTCGCCGTCGGGCAGAGGGAGGGGACCTGGGAGTTGAGGAGGAATGGAGACAGGTCCATGCTCGACCTCGCAGGCGATGCCCTCCCCTTCCGGCCCCACCTTCCCAGGTGCCCTTATACAACAGACTTGAGGCCCTGGAGCTTGAGAGACCCGTGGGTGAGGATGAGGTAGGAAGCCTACCCAGGAGGACGCCTAGGGCGAGGAAGTCAACTCCACGCCTCAGGACTGCCTCCACCATGAAAGAAAGAAGGGTGATTGTTGTAGGCGACTGACTCCCTTCTCAGGGGAACAGAGGGCCCTATTTGTCGGCCTGACCCTACCCGTAGGGAAGTCTGCTGCCTCCCTGGGGCCAGGGTCAGGGACGTTGCCAGGAAGCTTCCCAACCTGGTTCACCCCTCTGACTATTATCCTCTTTTGATAGTCCAGGCTGGCAGTGACGACGTTGAAGAGAGAAGCCTCAAGGCTATCAAACAGGACTTTAGGGGGCTGGGACGATTAGTGGAGGGAGCGGGAGTACAGGTGGTGTTTTCGTCCATCCCTACAGTGGCAGGGAGGGGTACAGAGAGGACACGGAAAGCCCACCTGATAAACACGTGGCTCAGAGGCTGGTGCCAGCACAGAAATTTTGGGTTTTTTGACCATGGGGCGCTTTACTTGGCACCCGGCCTGATGGCCGCAGATGGGTCCCTATCTCTAAGGGGAAAACGGATCGTGGGCCAGGAGCTGGCGGGGCTCATTGAGAGGGCTTTAAACTAGGTAAGATGGGGGATGGGGCTGAAATAAGGCTTGTTGGAGCTGTGCCAGGGGGAACAATGGCAAGGCTGGGGGATAAGGCAATGGCCCAGCTGAAGTGCATCTACACCAATGCATGCAGCATGGGTAACAAACAGGAGGAGCTGGAAGCCATCGTGCAGCAGGCAGGCTACGACTTGGCTGCCATCACGGAGACGTGGTGGGACCACTCTCACGACTGGAGTGCTGCAATGACTGGCTATAGGCTCTTCAGAAGGGACAGGCAGAACAGAAGGGGTGGTGGTGTGTCTCTCTATATTAGAGAATCTTTTGATGTCGTGGAACTCGAGGCTGGGAATGATAAGGTTGAGTCCCTGTGGGTTAGGATCGGCAGGAAGGCCAACAAGGATAGCATCCTGGTGGGGGGTCTGTTATAGACCGCCGAACCAGGATGAGGAGACGGATGAGGAGTTCTACAGGCAGCTGACAGAAGTTGCGAAATCATCAGTGCTTGTTCTCGAGGGGGAATTCAACTTCCCTGACATATCCTGGAAACACAACACAGCCCAGAGAAAGCAATCTAGGAGGTTTCTGGAGGGCGTGGAAGATAGCTTCCTGACGCAGCTGGTTAGTGAACCTTCCAGGGGCGCTGCCCCACTAGACCTTCTCTTCACAAACTGAGAAGGACTGGTGGGAGATGTGGTGGTCGGAAGCTATCTTGGGCAGAGTGACCACAAAATGGTGGAGTTCTCTATTCTTGGCGAGGCCAGGAAGGGGACCAGTAAAACTGCTATATTGGACTTCTGGAGGGCTGACTTTGAGCTGCTCAGGACACTGGTTGGCAGAGTCCCTTGGGAGGCGGTTCTGAAGGGCAGAGGAGTCCTGGAAGGCTGGGCACTCTTCAAGAAGGAAATCTTAATGGCACAGGAGTGGTCCGTCCCCACGTGCCCAAAGACAAGCCGGCATGGAAGAAGAACGGCCTGGCTCAACAGAGAGTTGCAGCTTGCGCTTAGGAGAAAAAGAGGGTTTATAATCTTTGGAAAAAAGGGCGGGCCACTGAGGAGGACTATAAGGATGTTGCGAGGCTGTGCAGGGACAAAATTAGAAAGGCCAAAGCTCATCTGGAGCTCAATCTGGCTACTACCGTTAAAGACAACAAAAAATGTTTTTACAAATACATCAACGCAAAACGGAGGACTAAGGAGAATCTCCATCCTTTACTGGATGCGGGGGGAAACCTAGTTACAAAAGATGAGGAAAAAAAGGAGGTGCTTAATGCCTTCTTTGCCTCAGTCTTTAGCGGCAAAACCAGTTGTTCTCTGGATACCCAGTACCCTGAGCTGGTGGAAGGGGATGGGGAGCAGGATGTGGCCCTCACCATCAATGAAGAACTGGTTGGTGACCTGCTATGGCACTTGGATGTGCACAAATCGATGGGGCCGGATGGAATCCACCCAAGGGTACTGAGAGAACTGGCAGAGGAGCTGGCCAAGCCCCTATCCATCATTTATCAGCAGTCCTGGCTATCGGGGGAGGTCCCAGCTGACTGGCGGCTAGCAAATGTGACGCCCATCTACAAGAAGGGCCGGAGGGCAGACCCGGGGAACTACAGGCCGGTCAGTTTGACCTCAGTTCCAGGGAAACTCATGGAGCAGATTATCCTGAGTGTCATCACGCGGCACTTGCAGGGCAAGCAGGTGATCAGGCCCAGTCAGCATGGGTTTATGAAAGGTAGGTCCTGCTTAACGAACCTGATCTCCTTCTATGACAAAGTGACGCACTGGGTGGACGAGGGAAAGGCTGTGGATGTGGTCTACCTTGACTTCAGTAAGGCTTTTGACACCGTTTCCCACAACATTCTCCTCAGGAAACTGGCTGCTTGTGGCTTGGACTGGCGTACGCTTCGTTGGGTTAGAAACTGTCTGGATAGCCAGGCCCAAAGAGCTGTGGTGAATGAAGTCAAATCCAGTTGGAGGCCAGTCACTAGTGGCGTCCCCCAGGGCTCGGTACTGGGGCCAGTCCTCTTTAATATCTTTTTCGATGATCTGGATGAGGGCATCGAGTGCACCCTCAGTAAGTTCGCAGATGACACCAAGTTAGGTGCGTGTGTCGATCTGCTCAAGGGTAGGAAGGCTCTGCAGGAGGATCTGGATAGGCTGCACCGATGGGCTGAGGTCAACTGCATGAAGTTCAACAAGGCCAAGTGCCGGGTCCTGCACCTGGGGCACAACAACCCCAAGCAGAGCTACAGGCTGGGAGATGAGTTGTTGGAGAGCTGCCAGGCAGAGAAGGACCTGGGAGTGATGGTTGATAGTTGGCTGAATATGAGCCAGCAGTGTGCTCAGGTGGACAAGAAGGCCAACAGCATCCTGGCTTGTATAAGAAACAGTGTGACCAGCAGTGCAAGGGAAGTGATTGTCCCCCTGTACTCGGCTCTGGCGAGGCCGCACCTCAAGTACTGTGTTCACTTTTGGGCCCCTCGCTACAAGAAGGACATCGAGGTGCTCGAGCGAGTCCAGAGAAGGACGATGAAGCTGGTGAGGGGTCTGGAGAACAAGTCTTACGAGGAGCGGCTGAGGGAGCTGGGCTTGTTCAGCCTGGAGAAGAGGAGGCTCAGGGGCGACCTTATCGCTCTCTACAGATACCTTAAAGGAAGCTGTAGCGACGTGGGGGCTGGTCTGTTCTCCCACGTGCCTGGTGACAGGACAAGGGGGAATGGGCTAAAGTTGCTCCAGGGGAGTTTTAGGTTGGATGTTAGGAAGAACTTCTTTACCGAAAGGGTTGTTAGACATTGGAACGGGCTGCCCAGGGAGGTGGTTGAGTCACCATCCCTGGAAGTCTTTAAAAGACCTTTAGATGTAGAGCTTAGGGATATGGTTTAGTGGAGGACTTGTTAGTGTTAGGTCAGAGGTTGGACTCGATGATCTTGAGGTCTCTTCCAACGTAGAAATTCTGTGATTCTGTGATAAAGCTACTTTAGGTATGCCTAAATTAGCAACAGCGTACAATACAGATGTACCCATATATACATTTAGTATGTGTGTTCCTGAATTTTCACACTAATTCAAATGTATTAATAATAGATGGAGATAAACTAGTAAACATGTTTTAAATTAAAGACACTTGCTTGGAAATACCATCCAATCACAACAGCAAGGCAGACAGATGAAATGCATATTCTACCTGTCACATGGCAGAGAAGTCAAATGAGTTGGCCTCTACAACCCTCATCGGTATATTTCCATTTGATAAGATAAACATACTAATTAGACTGCATCTGACTATGGCTTAATGATGACTATACATTCCAGAAGAGAGGGCCTGTCCAAAAACGTTCTATACACAAACAAATTAGAATTGTTCCCACTATGGAAAAGAGGCAAGTCTCTATATCATAGAAACATACATTCAAAGAACGGTTTGGGTTGGAAGGGACCTTAAAGATCATCTAGTTCCAACCCCCCTGCCATGGGCAGGGACACCTTTCACTAGACCAGTTTAATCAAAGCCCCATCCAACCTGGCCTTAAACACTTTCAGGGATGGGGCATCCAAAACTTCTCTGGGAAACCCGTTCCAGTGCTTCACCATGCTCACAGTAAAGAATTTCTTCCTAATATCTAATCTAAATCTACCCTCTTTTAGTTTAAAGCCATTACTTCTTGCCCTATCTCTACACTCCCTGATAAAGAATCCCTCCCCAGCTTTCCTGTAGGTCCCCTTTAGGTACTGTAATGTTGTTATAAGGTTTCCCTGGAGCCTTCTCTTCTCCAGGCTGAACAACCCCAGCTCTCTCAGCCTGCCTTCATAGGAGAGGTGCTCCAGCCCCTTGATCATCTTCGTGGCCCTCTTCTGGACTCATTCTAATACTTCTGTGTCCTTCTTGTACTGAGGGCCCCAGAGCTGAACACAGTACTCCTTCCTCACTGCCCTCAGGATCCTAAATTGCACCATTTCATGGTCACTGCAGCCAAGGCTGTCCTTGAATTTCACATTCCCCACCAGCCCCTCCTTGTTGGTGAGAATGATATGCAGCATAGCACCTCTCCTTGTTGGCTCCTCTATCACTTAGAGAAGGAAGTTATCATCAATGCATTCCAGGAACCTCCTGGATCCCAAATCAAAACTGAGGGCATTTGAAGAACATCTCCGCTCCCCTATCAACGTCAAGGGATAATTCAGAAATCAGTGAAGCTGCTGTTCCATTGCCAGTTCATGCCATTGATTTATTAAACAGTTACATTATATATTGCACTAACCACAGCTTAAAGCAACCTTTTAAAGACAGTTTACAGAGTGCATTGCTTAAGTTAATGTAGAGGTGATCAGAGAAGCATAACTATACATGGGAATCAAGTGATTTTCAGTCACCTAACCACATATAAGATATCCTGGAAGTCATGGACAATTTGCTTATAATGTATAGATTAAAAAAACAACAACAACAAAACAAACAAAAATAAATCCCCCAAACCCACATACATAAACTGGTCAGTTACCATACTGATGAGAAAACAAGATAATTTGCCTCTCACAGTTAACATTACAGTAGATCCAGTAGACCCATCTGGCAGTAGCAGACAACTGTTGAAAACTGAATGATAAAAGTTCCACAGCAGAAAATTAGCTGCTCAGAATAACTCCTTGACACCTTTCCAAAGGTCCTAATCAACCTATAAAATTGTATAGGTTGAGTTTACCTAACATTTTTTCTTCCAGTATTGATACTGTTGTAGTCAAAAGTAGTGATTTAATAGTTTTTATTTTATTTTATTTTATTTTATTTTATTTTATTTTATTTTATTTTATTTTATTTTATTTTATTTTATTTTATTTTATTTTATTTCAGAGAGATCAATCACTCCGGCAAGATATTTCTAAGGACTTTTGGATTTGTTCCTTCCTGTGTCTAACACAGGAAGTCTGTAATACTTCAAGATCAACTTTGAAACTTAATTTTTCTCATTCGCTTACAAAGAACAAAAGGGTATTTGATAAGGTCAGGCCAGTGGCTACAACGACTGTGTTAAAACTCATTTGTTTCTGTCCTTTAAGGACACGAGTTATTCTTGATTATGGATCTTCATAGTCTGTATTTTAAAACTATTCAGTGCACAGGCCAATGGACAAATATTCTTCACTATACTGCAAAAATAGAATAAAACAAAACTGCTGGCCCGAAAACAAAACTGATTTTAGTATAGTATAGATAATCCTTCATTGTTCTGAGATTTTACTGACAATAGATATCTTTGTTATAATGTCTAATTAGCAGAATCAAGAACATCCAAAATTGTGTTCATTTAGAATATCAAGTGTAAACACTAAGTTATCAACAAGAGACTTACCACACTGAATGTCTTCTGATCCAGTTCTTCAGATTCTTCAGATATAGGAACTGGTTCACTAGTTGCAGTAATATGAACTGGAATATCCAACGATGGAACTTTTTTATTTTTTTCTTTATTTTCAGATTTGATTTCATTTACCTAAGAATAGATATGAAAATGTATCTGATCAGCAAACCTTATTTTTCGACTGGAATTATACTGTAATTAGGCAATCACCATAATTACTGCATTCTCTTCAGTTATAGCAAGAAAAATATATTCTGACATGCAATTATGGTACATTTTATTTTCTCTCTCTGAGGGATGGAGAATGAGAATGGAAAAGTTATGAGTTTCTTATATTACTTGCATTCACGGTCCCATTAAGCTATGCATCTTTAAAGGGGCAATTTCCCATTTCATTTGTCTGTCTTTGTAGTTGCAAGTGGTAAAAATAAAATTTCAAATGACGCAAAAGATTTCAATGTAATGACAACTGTGAAGTGATCCAAAATACATTTTCAACTCAAAATCATTCACAAAAGCTGGTGGCCTTTTCTAGTGCTATAAGAAAAGTAAACCTAGTTACCTTCTCTTCCTTTACTTCTTTTTCTTTCTGTGTGGATTCCTTTACTTTGTTTTCTCTCTTTTCTTTAATATATTTAAATTCTTTCTTATCCTCCTTTTCTTTTTTCTCCCTTTTCAAATCCCTCTTAATTTCCTTTTCTTTTGTCTCTCTTTTTTCTTCAGCTTCCTTTTTTATACCAATATCTGGCTCATGCTTTTCTTCATTTTCTTTTTCTGCTTTTACTTTTTTACGCGGATGTTTCACTGAAACAATCTCATCCTGTGATACACAAGCATATATATCACATCAAACTGAGTTCTTAGCTATACAAGTTTTGTAACCATAAAATAAAAAATTACTTTTTTTTGTGTGTGTGTGATTTCTTAGGTTTATTACCTATCAACTAGAGCTGGATACAGTTGCAAAGAAAAATAAGGACTACTTACTAATTTCCTTGATGTGACACAAAACAAGTACTGATTGGGCAGTAGTAATGGGGGTGAGAGATTAAGCCCATTTAACTTTCATATCCCCAAAGAAATCTGCCCCTGTAAAAGCTTTAAAGAGCTAAAAGCAATAAGGAAGTAGGCATCAGAAAACAGCTGATTTTAGAGGGCACTCAAGTGATGGTGAGGATAAGACCTCTGTTCTGTTTAGCTTTCTTCTAGTAACTTTTTTACTGACTACAAATTAAACATTCACAGTCAAAGGAAAAGGGAAAAGAGTTCCAACTTCCTCTTTTCCAGAGGTGTTCTGAAGAATCTGGTGTTCTTTTATCTACCTTCAAAGTCACAGAATTAGGTGAGCAACATGGCCAGCCCCTAGACTTCATCACTTCATCATCTCTAGGGAACCTGCTTTGGCAGGGGGGTTGGACATGATGATCTCTTGAGGTCCCTTCCAACCCCTACAATTCTGTGATTCTGTGATCTGTTTTGTCCCCTGTCCCCCCCCCCCCCCCCCCCCCCCCGTGATTTCTGCTGTGTGATAGATTTAAATAAGTGACCCAACAAAAGCAGAGGCCTAAAGGAATTAATTGGAAGTAATAAAAATATAAGAAAGTTAAGTAGTCTATTAGAATAATGAAACCCTTGACATATACAGGAACATTCACTTGTATGTATCAAAACATCATTTATTCATGCTGTGCTTTCTAATCAAGCTTGATTTTTTTTCCTGAGCCTGGAAAAAGTTGCTACCTGAAGAATCATTATCAGTAGTAATAACGGATTAGTCAGAAACATTGGAGTATTTATGATGATTGAGTTTTCACGTTACATTAAAATTACATTTCTAGCAGATACAATGCTCAGGTGTTTAAAGAGCATTGAAATTGCATGATGTCACTTGTAATTGGACTACAACGTTCTTTTAGGACATAATAATTTGGACAACTAATCATAAATGCCTCAGCTACAGACTTATCATTAAATTAAAATAGATACAGTCTTCCATGTGATTATATTGATGCAATTTTATTTGCCACAGAAGGAGAATGCCATTCAAGTGTTTCAATTTTATTAAATCAAACAGAAGATCAAATTGAAAGTGTTACTAATAAAGAACTGAATAACCCATCTTTACCATATGAAAGATGTTTAACTCATTATCTTCACCAGATTTTTCTGAGGGTGGTGACGAGGAATCACTTTTTATTTCTTCTTTTAGTTTTGCAGCCTTTGTTGCTTTACTCTTCTTACTTCTTGTTTTCCTCCTCTTTGAATTGCCCTGAATGCAAATCGGTACCTTTATTATGTGAACTGACAAGTATCTGCACCATAGTTGCAGAAAAAATTGTTTTTATGTTAAATAAAACATTAATTTTATTTGTTAACACTAACGACTAATACTGTTCTCAGGACTGGAGACTGAACCTAGCGCAACAGTAGAGTATATATACAAATAAGAGGCAATAAAATAATATTAAACTTGCAATTCATTCCTCGAGTTAGTCTCATATAATGTGATTAGCAATATGGAGAAAATTGCACAAAGAGTAGAACTAAGGAAAAAGAAGGATCTATTGATATGCCCATAAGCATAATATGTTATCTCGCTACTGAATGTCAAGATTTACTTACTGCACTAGCAAGTCTCTGTGCTTCCTTTCTTGCAAGGTCTTTATTCAGTAATTTAATGAGGTAGTCTGCACGGGTCTGTAACTGCTTGGCCTGGGGTTTCTTGTCCGGATCATCAGGTAAAATCTGAAGAGAGCAATGGTGGTATCAACTATAAGTACACATTATCAAATTTGGAAGCTGCATTAAAAAAAAAAAAAAAAAAAAACAAACGTAGAAAACCAATTCACTCCAACTACACCTGGCAAACATAACAGCATACTTGAAGGAATGTATAATTTCTTCAACGTTATATATTTTCCGCAAACACACAAGTAATGTAGAGTCTTGGAAATGGCCTCACAAAATTTACAGTAAACTCAAAAAAATAGCTTCAAATTTCTGTTTCCAATTTCATAGTTTATCTAAGAAATTCAGAGCTCCTGTACCACTGTCATCCACAGATCTAGTTCTGACTTGTGCTTCTTCTAAATGCAGAACTCATTACCACAGAATATTTCTGAAGCCAAAAATATAAATGAGTGATTTAATAAAACAGGCAAAATTATGGAAGGCAGGGGTACGATATCATTAAACAGATACAATCCTGACCTCTCAAATCCCAAAGCTACAGGTTGTTGACAATGTCACTGAGTTTGCTTCACTTCAGTCTTTCCCTAAATATCTGTTTCTCACTACTAGGCAGACGCTGCACTACTACTTGTCTAATGAACACAGCTATTCTCATGTTGTGAATGAGAGGCAGTTTCAAGCAAAGAAACTGTGGATGGGAAAGAAAGGAGGGGTGAGAAAACCAAACCAAAACCCCAAAATAGCCTTCCCTCCAAAAGATCAAGAATAAAATTAACATAACTAGAGCATCTAAAGTAGGGAAACAACAGATGGAAGAGAGAAAATTCAAGTGACAGAAATCCAAATACACAAAAATAATGTAACAGACTATAAGAAGGTATAATTCAAATGAATATACAAGATCTTGAATTCTAATAAATGTACAACAAGAATACAAAGGAGTACAACTGTCCTAACTTCTGTGCAATTTCAGCAATCATAAAATAAGCTCTTTCAGTAACTGATCTTTTTAGCATTATTACTTAAACATCAAAAAAAAAAGTCCTTCATGAAATTTCATAGATGACATACCTTCTGCGTCAAACTGAGATCAGGATCCATTTTTATCATTTCCCAGCTGCCATAACCATACTCATAGATACCTATTAACAGATTGGAATCATCTTCCTTACCCCAATCTATATCAAAATGAGCTGCCTTGGTGTGGCATGGGATGACATATCTAGTAGAAAAAAAATAGAAACATAAATAAGCCATCTTCTCAAACTTAGCAAGGGAGAAAGGAACATGCTAAGAGCAGAAACAAAAATGTTACACCACTAAAATGCTGGTATATTTAGGTAAGTAATCCAGATAACTATCATAAGATTTTCTTACAATTTCTATAAAATATTTATTGAAATCAGTACTGAAACAAGTTTTAAAGCAGATCTAGATCAAGATATAAAGAACAACAGATATCTATCTGTGGTCATGGATTAAGACAGAATTGGTTAACAATGAAGACAAGCTTAAAATATCACTCTTGTGTAACTGCTAACTGAATAAGCGTAGTCTAGGGACTGTGATACAGAAGGTAGCAAGCTAAGAAGTTCAGAGGGCTGAAACTATCATCAACAATTAGTATCTGTTCCCCTTTGACAGATATTGCTTTCCCTCAGGCAGAGGTGACACAAAGCAACTCCTCAACAAGCCTAATTTCTACTCTGAAATAATTAAGAGTAACTGAACCCAGGCCCCAGTGAATACAGTTCAGAAGCCAAAGCAAATACTGGCTACAAAGGAGAGGGAAGAAAGAATAAACAAAGAATGTGGATCAGATTATGCTACCAGTTCTTACAGGAAATGAAGCAACACTGGTGTCCCAGCGCGCTTACAGTCTGGATTGGTTAAATATATGCTTACAAGACTTGAATAATTTTCTAGATTATTGTTTCCTTTAGGAGGAGAATAAAAAAATACCTTTTCCTTTCTTCTGGATCTAAAGGAATGGATTTGTGCAATGGTGCCAACTCTTCTTCATGGGAGATGACTAGCTTTGCATTCACCTGCACTCCTGATATTCGGAATGTTGGGCCTTTAACTTTCCCAAGTCCACCTCCTTAAAATAAAGGACAAAACTATTAAAATATTCAGCCTTTAGGTGAATGTTATACACAAACGTAAAGAAAAAACAAAATTGATAATATAGCAGATGAAATTCAATTAGAAAAACTTTTTCTAAACAAACACTCTAAACTCCAGAATCTCAAGGTCTTCCAAATACTAGTAGATTAATTACAAATTTCATGATAAAGCAAAATCATGTCACATTCCACTGTGACAAAATACACAGGGAATGGGGATTTTTTTTTTTAATTCACCAAGCACACTAACATTTTTGTTTCTGTTTTCCCCCAAGAAAATAAATGTTATAATCAGACCTTAAGAATAGCTCATAACACTTGACACTTTTTATTCCGCTTGCCAACTCCCAAATACAATTTACCTGATCTTTCTTGTCCAAAGGCATTGTCCCTTAAAGCCTTAATGCATCCATTATGTACAAGTTCTCCCAGACGTCTAAGGTCTGTTTCCGATTTATCAACTAGCTCAGCATCTCTAGCTATAGCATCTAACCTATAAAAAAAGAAGTATGCTTTTATAACTGTAAAACATTAGTAACTACACAATCAGAGAACCAAGGAATACCTGAGATTGGAAGGGGCCCTCTGGAGGTCATCTGGTCCAAGCCCCCTGCTCAAGCAGGGACACCTAGAGCAGGTTGCCCAGGACCACAGGCCTAGGACCACAGGCCCAGGACCACAGGCTTTGGGCAACCTGTTCCACTGCTCCATCACCCACACAGTAAAAAAGAAAAAGAAAAAAGTGCTTCCTGATGTTGAGATGGATCCTCCTGTGTTTCCATTTGTGCCCATTGCCTCTCGTCCTGTCACTGGGCACCACTGAAAAGAGCCTGGCTCCATCCTCTTCGCATCCTCCCTTCAGGTATTTATAGACATTGATGAGATACCCCTGGGCCTTCTCTTCTCCAGGCTAAACAGTCCCAGCTCTCTCAGCCTCTCCTCATAGGAGAGATGTTTCAGTCCCTTAATCATTTTTGTGGCCCCTTTGTTGGACTCTCTCCAGTAGATCCAGGTCTCTCTTGTACTGGGGAGCCCAGAGCTGGACACAAAACTCCAGGTGTGGCCTCACCAAATCCGAGTAGAGGGGAAGGATCACCTCCCTCCACCTGCTGGCAGTACTTTGCCTAATGAATGCATCCCAGGATATCATTAGCCTTCTTTGCTGCAAGGACACATTGCTGGCTCATGCTCGACTTGGTGACCCCCAGGACCCCCATAGACTTTTCTGCAAGGTTGCTTTACAGCTGGGTGGCCCCCAGCATGTGCCGGTGCCTGGGGTTGTTCCTTTCCAGGTGCAGGACTTTGTACTTCCCCTTGTTGAACTGCATGAGGTTCCTCTCTGCCCATTTCTCCAGTTTGTCCAGGTCCCTCTGGATGGCAGCAAGACCCTCTGGTGTATCCACCGTGCCCCTCTATTTTGTGTCATCTGCAGACTTGCTGAGGGTACACTCTGCCCCATCATCCAGATCATTAATGAAAACGTTGAACAGGACTGAGTCCAGTATTGACCCCTGCAGTACACCCCTAGTTACTACTGGCCTCCAACTAGACTGTGTGCCGCCGACCACCACCCTCTGGGCCCAGCCATTCAGACAGTTTTCAAACCACCTCGCTGTTTGTCCATCCAGCAATGGCCACTTTAACAGCTTGTCTATGGGGATCTTATGGGAGACAGTGTCAAAGGCCTTACTGAAGTCCAGGTGGACTATATCCACTGCTCTCCCCTCATCCATCAGGCTGGTCATATCATTATTGAAACTTATCAGATTGGTCAAGCATGACTTCCTCTTGGTGAATCCATGCTGGCTCCTCCTGATGGTTTTCTTGTCCTTCGTATACCTGGAAATGGTTTCCAGGATTAGCTGCTCCATTACCTTCCCAGGCATCAAGGTGGGGCTGACTGGCCTGTAGTTCCCAGGGTCCTCCTTCTTGCCCTTTTTGAAGATAAGAGTGACATTTGCTTTCCTCTAGTCTTCAGGCACTTCTCCCAGTCACCATGATCGAGCAAAGATTATCAAGAGTGGCCTTGCGAGGACATCTGCCAGCTCCCTCAGTACTTGTGGCCCCATCAGGGCCCATGGACTTATGAATGTCCAGTTTGCTTAAGTATTCCTTGACCTGATCATCTCCCACCATGGATCCATCTTCCTTCCTCCAGCCTTTCCCCCAGGTCTCTGGGACCTGGGATTCCTGAGGGCCAGCCTTGATGGTAAAGACCAAGGCAAAGAAGGCATTCAGTACCTCAGCATTTTCCCTGTCCCGTGTAACCAGGTTCCCCATCTTATTCAGCAATGGGCCCACATTTTCCCTAGCCTTCCTTTTGTCACTAATGCATTCATGAATGACTCCTTCAGACTTTGAAACTAGAGTAGTTATGAAATAAGCTAGAATTCACCCACACTTGCTATGCTGTGTGCATTTTTAATCCATGCACTTAAAAGTATGTATAGAAAAGAATACAGAAAATATTATTTAAAAAAAGGAAATACTAAAGGTGTTTCAGATATTAGAGGATAATACAATAGGAACTATAAAGGACCCTAACTATACAGTTTCAATATATTTCTGTATATTCGTTTGAAAATAAAAGGAACTATTATATATTGCATGATCATATAGAATATAAGTATTGTTAAAGAAAATGAAGGTGATAATTTTTTGGAGAATATCGAGTAATACAGAAAGCTTAAAATAATAACTGACAATAAAAATGTAAAACTGGTAGTTACAGTGCATAAAACCATAAGCTTTTACCATACTATCAAACGAGAAAACTGAATGATCGTCACTAATGCGGATTAAACAAGCTAATAGGTAAAGTGTAAAAAAAGACGAAGTAGTCTTCCAAAATTGAAAGGTTTGTCTTTCTGTCTTTCTACATAAATACCACGTATGAAGAAAGGAAATAATTTAATTTTATGTTATAATCAAGGCAAAAAGTTGGGTATACTATTATCTCTTCAGCCTAAGGATTTTTGGTGTACTGATCTAATTTTAATGTAAACCAGATTCCAAATTGCTACACAAATATAATCAAATGAGTTTACCTTTCAAGTGGGCCACCAAATTTCTTGTAACTCTTGATAAATCTAGTAACAGAAAATAATTCTGCAGTTAAAAACATATGCTTAACTACACCGGTTTCAAAATTTATTTGTACAATGCTATATGGACAATGCAAAGAAAAGAACTAGAGAGACCAGGGCAGGTTAGCATTTCAATTAACCCACATTTAAAGCCAGAGTTCTGTTTGGTTTATTAACTGATACAAATAAAATAGAAAATATAATTCATTTCAAAGGTTACTTTACTAGTTTCACAAGTCAAAGCATTCAGCAACACAAGGTGTTTAAAACAAAAGTTTAAAAGTTTTAAAGTTTAAAACAAAATTCTCTCAACATTTTGTAGGTATTTCCACAAAGATATACATATCCTTTCTTCAACTACAGTTTTTCGGTAAAATGATGGAAAGTTTACATGTTTTTTTTAAAAAAAAAGCTCACCCACTGTAACAACTGTTTTTGAAATCACTGCCTTCAGGGGATGCAGGAAGAATAACACATATTAAAAGACTGTAAACAATAAAGAATATTTTTCCAACCCAGTTTTATCCCTCACCTAAATCTGTTCAAAATCTGGATGTGATAGTTCTTTATCTCAGCACCACAAACTACAAAAAGTAAAGCTTTAAATGCCTAGATAGATTGTTTTCCATATTTTCAAACTCATAATGATAAAAAAAAAAAGTCCCATTAAGCACACGTCCCCCCACATCTTACCGTCTAATCTCTGCATCACTAAATCCTTTAATATTTTCTCGAGGAATAGTTCGTGGTCGTCCACGTTTTTTTGGTCGTTTTCTTTCTGAGACAGAGTCACTATCAGATCCAGAATATCTTCTGCTCCTACTGCATCTCCCTTCATTTCCATTAAAGCTAATCTGGAATTTCAGAGTAAGTAGTTCAAAGCTATGTGACTAAAACATTTTATTCATTTGTTATCTAGCCCATCAAAAATATGTATTGGGGGGGCATACGCAAAAACCATCCAACACAAAAGTACAAGCCAAAAAACCATCAATGCAAATATCAAAGAAAATTGGTCAAAACCCAGAGATACCTGTTTTGCACAGTTCCTCATCCTTGGGAGCATATATATTTCTTCAAGTTCTTTTTGTCTTTCTTCCTCTTCTAATCGTCGCCGCTGGACTTCTGGAATGATTTCTTCCCAACTTCTTAAATTTTGTTCTGGTTCCAATTCAATGTCATCTTCATCCATATTGGAAAAGTTAGCTACCTTATGTATTGGAACATAAGTATTTTCACAAAATGGTTTTATTTAAACAAGGAGTCAGCAACTAACTTTTTAAGAAAACTTAGTTTGGAATGGCATATTTTATTTATTTATGTATACAAAATATATACATATAAAATAGTTCATGAATCATTGTCTTGAAAGTAATTTAATACGTGAAATGCACACGCTCCATGCAACACGTCTGAATATACAGATGAGAATATTTTTCTTCTTTTATAAGTTGACTAATATAGAAACACTATGAAATACCTCCTTGATAGCTGTGTGATTGTTGTTTAATTTCCTTCAAAGCAAAGCTAACAGTATTTGAATACTCAAGCTGATGTAAAATTCTGCATTATTACGCAGAACTAACCAAACATTTATAAACTGTAGAAACCACAATATATTGCAAATGAATGAGCAGCAGGAAGGTGATTTAGTACTCTGATCTAAAGAAAAGTCCTTCCCCACTTTAAACAAAAAACAAACAAAATCACACACACAAAGAGATACAAGACACACCCACAATTTAGACCCACCATAATATTTTAAGTATTATACAGTTAAATACATCTGGAATTCAAGTTCACGTATGTGTTGAAAGGAATTTCTAAAGGTCATCAACTAAGAAATCCAAACTTCATTCTGTTTTCAGAAGTGCCATAGTTGCTTAACAGTGTAAAGCATTAAATGAAGAACAGCCCTCCCCAGTATTACAATCATTAAATCAAAGACTAATGTATTTGTAAATGTCTTTCTTATTTTGTTAGCAGAATACATTATGCATTTTTAAATGTTTGCACTGGTGGTAACTATGCTGTATAGGTGAAAAGACATTCTATGCGAGAGTTGACCTATTGTCAACAAATTGACAATTTCATAAGAAAGAAAAAGGTTACACAAAAGGAAATAAAAAGTAGCATTTATAAAGAAAATCACGATTATGGGAGGAGGGAGGGAACAGAGTAATACCTTGAACTGAGAAAGTAACTCATCTCCTACAGTTAATGGGCCTGGCTCATTTTCTCGAGTTTCAGCCCTCTTCAGGATTTCATCTATATCCATTTCCTGAAACAGAAGTTGTTTCTTTTTATAACAAAATAATTCATACATATTTTTCAGTTGTTATATCCATAAAGTGTAGATTCACTGCTCCATTTACCTGAGGCTCCTCTTCCTCCCCTTCAGGTTCTTTGAAGAGTTCCTCAGCACCAAACTTCAAAATTGCTGATAACTCTTCCTTATTAAAAGGTGTTGAGCTGAAATACAGGAAATTTCAGAAAAGCATTTTATCTTTGAGAATTTTTTCAAATTACTATAACCATGAATTAATCAAGCTTCCTTCTGACTGTTAAATAAAAGCTATATTTAATATGTAAACAAAAATATAGAAAGACATTATACTTTGCAGTCTTTACTTATAAGGTCGCTGTTATTTTATTATTATATTATATACTGTTGGGATCAGAGGACTACCACCCATTCCTACTCTTTCATGTAGGGTCAAATAAGGCTGCAACCAGATGCCAAAATATCAAAAAGGACTTCGTGTCCCCTCAGAAAGATGTTGAAGGGATTAGGAGTGCAAATAGTGTTCTCCTGTATTCTCCCAGTTGGTGAATGGGACCCAAGGAGACAAACAGACCAAGTGAATGACTGTCTGCATGGCTGGTGCCATGCTCAAGGTTTTGGGTTTTATGATCTCAGATGTACTTTTGAGAGACCAGACATGCTGACACTGGATGGGGCATACTTGACCAAGTGGGGCAAGAGTGTTCAGGGCAGTAAGCAGGTGGGACTTATTAGCAGGGCTTCAGACTAGATGAAGTGGGGGAAGGGGATGTACCTCTTAGTGACAGAAAAGAACTTGGGAACACTGACACTTTAGGAAGCAACAGGGGAATACCTGTGAATTGTCCCAAAGGAATTAGGAAGGGCTCCTCTAAAAAGGTGATACAGCCAATAGCCCAGCTGAAGTGCCTCTACACCAATGCATGCAGCAAGGGAAACAAACAGGAGGAGTTGGAAACCATGGTCCAATTACAAACTCTGACATAATTGCTATCACAGAAACACAATGGGATGATTCACACAACTGGAACATTGAAATCGAGGGCTAAAAGCTTTAGAGAAGATATAGACAAGGAAGAAAGGGTGGGGGTGTTGCTCTCTATGTTAAGAAATGGAGAGTTGCACTCAACGGCATTATGTTCAAGTGGAGGATGATGATGTCCCTCAGGGGTCTTTTTTGGGACTGGTACTGTCTAATATCTTTATTAAAGACATAAACAGTGGGATCGAGTGCACCCTCAGCAAGTTTGCAGATGTGACATCAAGCTGAGTGGCAAAGTTGATAAAACAGAAGGAAGAGATGCCATCCAAAAGGACCTGGTCAAGCTTGAGAAGTGGGCCCCTGTGAATCCTGTGAGGTTCAACAAGTCCAATTGCAAGGTGCTGCACCTGGGTCAGGGTAATCCCAGACAGGAGTACAGACTGGGAGAAGAACTCATTGAGAGCAACCCTGCAGAGAAGGACTTGGGGGTTCTGGTGGATGAAAATCTTGACACGAGCCAGCAGTGCACACTTGCAGCCCAGAAAGCCAACTGCATCCTGGGCTGCATCAACAGAGGAGTGGCCAGCAGGTCAAGGGAGGTGACTGTCCCCCTCTACTCTGCCCTCATGAGGCCCCATTTGGAGTAATGCATCCAGGTCTGGGGCAAAAAAAAAGCACAAAAAAAGATGTGGACCTATTAGCAGGGGACCAGAGGAGGGCCATGAAGATTATCAGAGGGCTGGAGCACCTCTCTTATGAAGAAAGGCTGAGAGCTGGGGATGTGAGGTCCATCTATAAGAATGGTTGTAAGGAGGAACCAGGGAACTACAGGCCTGTCAGCCTGACCTCGGTGCCAGGAAAGGTGATGGAGCAGGTCATCTTGAGTGCAATCACACAGCATCTGTGGGACAGTGGGGGAATCAGGCCCAGTCAGCATGGGTTCATGAAAGGCAAGTCCTGCCCGACCAACCTCATCTCCTTCTATGAGTGGGTGACCAGCCTGGTGGATGAGGGAAAGGCTGTTGACGTAGTCTACCTAGACTTCAGCAAAGCCTTTGACACAGTCTCTCACAGTATTCTCCTGGAGAAGCTGGCGGCCCATGGCTTGGACAGGTACACTCTTTGCTGGCTGGACGGCCAGGCCCAGAGGGTAGTGGTGAATGGAGTAAAATCCATCTGTCGACCAGTGATGTCGACGATGAGTGGTGTTCCCCTGGGGTCAGTGTTGGGGACCACCCTCTTTAATATCTTTATTGATGATTTGGATGAGGGAATTGAGTGCATGCTCAGGAAGTTTGCAGATGACACCAAGTTGGGGGGGAGTGTCAATCTGCCAGAGGGTAGGAAGGGCCTGCAGAGGGACCTGGACAGGTTGGATCGAAGGGCAGAGGCCAGTGGGATGAGGTTCAACATGGCTAAGTGCCAGGTCCTGCACTTTGGCCACCTCAACCCCATGCAGTGCTATGGGCTTGGGACAGAGTGGCTGGAAAGCTGTGCAGAAGAAAAGGATCTAGGGGTGTTGGTAGATGCTCGCCTGAACATGAGCCAGCAGTGTGCCCAGGTGGCCAAGAAGGCCAATGGCATCCTGGCTAGTATCAGGAATAGTGTAGCCAGCAGGACCAGGGAGGTGTTCATCTCTCTGGACTCAGCTCTGGTGAGTCCGCACCTCGAGTACTGTGTTCACTTTTGGGCCCCTCACTTCAAGAAAGACATCGAGTCCCTGGAGCATGTCCAGAGAAGGTCTACAAAGCTGGTGAAGGGTCTGGAACACAAGTCTTCTGAGGAGCGGCTGAGGGAACTGGGGTTGTTTGGTCTGGAGAAGAGGGAGGCTCAGGGAAGACGTTATTGCTCTCTACAACTACCTGAAAGGCAGTTGTGGGGAGCTGGGGGTAAGCCTCTTCTCCCAGATAACTAGCGATAGGATTAGAGGGAATGGCCTCAAGTTGCACCAGGGAAGTTTCAGGTTGGAAATTAGGAGACATTTCTTCTCAGAAAGAGTAGTCAGACTTTGGAACAGGTTGCCCAGGGAGGTGGTGGAGTCACCATCCCTGGGGGTGTTTAAGGAAAGGTTGGACGTGGTGCTTAGGGACATGGTCTAGTGGGTGATATTGGTGGTAGGGTGATGGTTGGACCAGATGATCTTGGAGGTCTTTTCCAACCTTAATGATTCTATGATTATGTTTTCAGCCTGGAGAAGAGAAGGCTCTGAGGAGGCCTCATTGTGGCCTTTCAGTACTTAAAGAGGGCTTATATAAAAAGATGGAGATTGACTTTTTACTCAGACAGATAATGATAGGACAAGGTGGAAGGGTTTTAATCTAAAAGAGGAGATTTAGATCAGGTGTTAGGAAAAAATTCTTCACTTGGTGGATGGTGAGGCACTGGAACAGGTTGCCCAGAGAAGTAGTGGATGACCCATGCCTGGAAGTGGTCAAGGCCAGGTTGGATGGAGCTTTGAGCAACTTCATCTAGTGGGTGGCATCCCTGCCCATGGCAGAGGAGTTGGAATGAGGTGATCTTTAAGGTCTAAGCCATTCTATGATTTTATGATATAATACCTTACCATATATTTTTTGCCTTTTGTTAACCAAGTGAAGTGACTTGCACTTTTAATAAAATAGTCAAGTATACTTAACTCTAAATTGATATGTAAGTTATATAAATATACCTTGAAGGAGTAGAGCCTGTATGTAGTACAGTTTTCCCTGTAGTGTCCATTCTCTGAATCACTAAGTGATCTAACACCATCTTTTTCTTGGCTCTTTCAAGAATATCTTCTTCTACTGATCCTTTTGTGACTAGCCGATAAATATTAACCTATGTATGTTATAAATAGGCTTTACTTACATGCTCACAAATTACACAGGAAAACAATATTCAGATAAGATTAACAACAACAAAAAAAAAACCCACACCTTGAACAACAACAATGTTAGTCCTTACTTCTAATCTTCTATCTCATTGAACTAGTATTTCTCATATGAAACCAGTCAATCACATTACCATTGTCTCTACGTAAAGTTTTTAAAAAATAAAGAAATTCTTAGACCTCTCCTCTTTAAACTTCAATAATTAGGCACAAGCATGGCCATAAGGAACAGTGTCATATCTGATTATTACTTGAAGTCTTCTGCAAGAAAAAAACCCAAAGAGAACTACTAATTATTTATCATTAGGTAAAGGAGATGTGCCTTAAATATAACAGTTATTTTCTAGGATGACATGAAGCCAATGAACGTGAGACAAGCCCAGAACTCTTCTCTCTACTCATCCATATACTACAGCTACTATGCCATTTCTCCATATAGGGAGAGATTTATTTATTTATTTATTTATTTATTTATTTATTTATTTATTAAAAAATGTCAAATGAGCATTATTAACATTTTTAGACATACCTGGCAAGTTCTAGTTATTCTCAAAATACACAAAGACTGCGATGGCCAGACAAACAGCTTATGGCTACTGTGTGAAACCCTCCTTCAGGTTTGAAGCTTAGAAGACAAATATGCATACCTGTTTTTTCTGTCCAATCCTATGAGCTCTAGCCTGCGCTTGCAGATCATTTTGTGGATTCCAGTCAGAATCAAATATAACTACAGTGTCAGCAGATGCCAAGTTTATACCTAATCCTCCAGCTCTGGTAGACAGCAAAAAGCAGAAATCCTGAAATTATAAAATAAGAAATAGCTTTATATATGTATTAGTCATAATAATGCTTTGTGGAGCGGACTATCAACTCATACACTATCAAATAGCTCTTCCATAGGTGAAGCTTCTTTAAGTATGAAGCTTAAATATATATATATATTTAAAGAAAACTAAGCAGCTATGGCATAAGAGGGAAGATTCTTGAGCATATAAGTAACTGGTTAAGAGATAAGAAACAAGAGTTCTGTCAGGGTCAATGCTCTTCAACCCACTCAGAAACAATATGAAAATAGTATGATCAAAGTTTTCAGATGATATGGAATTATTCAAGGACAAAGGACAACTATGAAGGACTGCAGGAGGATCTTATGAGACAGGCAATAAAAAAAAGCATATGAAATTCAAGATAAAGAGAAATAGGAAACAATTTTGAATATTAAATACAGTGACAAGTAATAGCAAACCATTAATGCACAGGAATGAGTCCTTGGAGTTGTCATAGATATTGAGACCTTCACCAGTAATAGTGAAGAAAGTTGATTAGGTAAAATGAAGTTTTATGGATTATTAGGAAAGAAATAGAGAATAAAACAGGAAACAATTCTGTTGCTGCACAAGTCTATAATTTACCTCCTTTTTTGAATACCATGTGAAGTTTGGATCCCCCTTCATCTTAAAAAAACATACAGTACAACTACAAGAATTCCAGAAAAAGGCAATGATGTCTATATTAGAAATTTACATACAGAAGTTAGTTCTGTTTTAACAAATATCTGAAGATTATGTTATGAAATTAAGTCCTTCCTCCTCAACCATAACATAAATATAAGCCCAATAGCAACTGACAAATGTTATGCTTCTATTGCTGAAAAAAACCCTGCCAGTGTTGAACAGAAGACCTAAGATTATCAAAGGTATGGAATGGCTTCCATTGTAGGAATGCTAAATAAACTAGGAATCTTATAGAAGTACACAATGGCTATAAATCAGTTCTTCATTTTCTTCCAGGGCAAGGAAATAAAAAATAGAAAATGAAGATAACAGAAGCCAGATTTAAAAAATATTTAAAACAATTTTTCTTCATGCAAGGATATACACAACTCAGTTCTGCCCATTCCCTAAGTACTTGTTCAATGTCAAAGGCTTATGCAAAAGTTCAGTGCTCCTGTAAAAACTGAAGGACTAAGTCCTACAAAAACAAACAAACAAACAAACAAACAAACAAAAAACACAGGTTAAATTCTTCAGTGTTTATACAGTACTGAAAATTACTTTGATAAAAAGCACGGTCAAAAATCTAAAAAGGTAACTTATGCAGTTATATTAGTTAAACGTCATTTTCATAAATTCTGTTTCCTATTTAACCTCTTCTCAGAAAAAAAAAGAGTTGTAAATCTTGTAATATATAGGTTACCAATAACAAAATTTCAACATGATACATCCCTCACTTTTTTCTGTCTTAATTTTTTTGGTAATATTTGTTATATTTCTTGGGAAAAAAATAAAGCTGTATAGATTTAAAAACCACCACCCACTAATATCATACCTCTGATCCTTCTGCATTAAAATGATCCAGTGCTTGTTTCCTCAATTCCCCTTTTATTGATCCATCAAGTCTCTAAAGAGATCAAATATTACAGTTAAAGAGGAACACTCATACTATATTCTAATCAGAGCAACTTGAAATCTCAATTGCCAAAACAATTAGGGGCAAGGAGAAGAGTAATGTAACACCTTTCTAATTTATCATTTTCATTTCAAAACACCATTTATCATATAGTCTTTTTCTGTACATAAAATTAAACTTTTATAAATCCTTCTACTAAAAAGGACACTTTTACGTTTCTTAAGCTAAAGTGGCAAAGATCAAGGCTTCTTGGCTACTACCAGCAAATTCCTACCTGAAAAGGAAACTGACGATACTTCAAATATTCTGCTAGGATGTCTAGCATCCTCACCATCTGAGAGAAAATCAGTACTCTGTTGCCACGTTCTCGTAGACGAATCAGTAGCTTGTCAAGAAGGATTAGTTTCCCACTGCTTCGTATTAAATGCTACAAAGATAAGAAAAGGTGTATTGCAAAATTAGTTCACCTTAGCACTAATATACACTGCAGTTGGTTACACTTTTTTTTAAGGTTTTTAAGGTTTAAGGTTTTTTAAGGTTTAAGGTTTTCTTTCTTGTCTACTGGAATGGGAAGAATGACAGAAATTTTGACATTCCTTTAAAAATATGTTTTAAAATGTGCACACAATAGTCTCCTAGAACTAAATAACGCATTCAGATGACCATACTATACCACTATATACATTTACTAGTATGCAGCATTAATTGAATATGAAAGTTTAATAAGGACTTAGTCAGTCCTGATCTCGTAAAAACTCATTATAAAAGCATGGAGTACTCTAATTGGAAGCAACAGGAATACTAACTAGCATGTTTTAAAGGAAATGCATTTCTCAGCTTTGGCTAATAAAACATCATCTTAACGTTTCATTAAAAAAAGTAAGCAAATAAACTGTGCTACAAGTTAGAGCAGTTGAGATATAGACTCAATGTTTTCCTACCAAATAATTATTTGGTAGGAAGTAAGATTACGTTACTAATTTAGTACTACTTACTCCTTGCTTTCCATCTTTTGAACAGAAATAAGCACTGCTATTTGACCCTCTAATTATTTTTAAACAGTAACTAATCTGTCAAGTTTCTCAGGCAAGTTAAAAGTGAGAGGAATCTTGTTTGTAGAGCCCAAGTGGCTTTAGATGGCTTATAGCATTATACGTGGTCTGTTCTGAAAGTAGTAGGACTCATTTTTTTAAAAAAAAATTATTCATGAGAATAGAACAAACTATTAGAATTTTTCAAAGAATTTTCCTTCTGCATCTACACACTGCTGCCAACGAGTTTTCCAGTTTTTGTACGCCTCCAGGAATGCCTGGACCGGAATGCTGTTTAGCTCCCTCGTCACGGCCTCTTGAAGCGCCTCTACCGATGCATGATGCTTCCCCTTGAGCGTTGATTTTACTCTCGGGAATAGAAAAAAGTCTGGCGGGGCCAAGTCGGGGCTGTAGGGGGGCTGAGGCAGCGTTGCCACCTTGTGCTGGGCAAGATACTCCACTACGCGGAACGCTGTGTGGCTCGGTGCGTTGTCATGGTGCAGCCGCCAATTGTTGACGATGGCTGGGCGGACACGAGCAATGCGTTTTCGCAGTCTTGTGAGGACTTCCACGTAAAAAACTGCATTAACTGTTTGTCCGGGTGATACAAACTCTTTGTGGATGACTCCATGTCGATCAAAAAAGCAAATGAGCATGGACTTTTGCTTGGATTTGCTCATTCGTGCTTTCTTGGGGCATGGGGAAGCAGGGGTGTGCCATTCTGTGCTCTGCCGCTTACTCTCCGGGTCATATTCAAACACCCACGTCTCGTCACCAGTCACCACATTGTCCAAAAAGTCGGGCTCCTCATTCACATGATGAAAAAGATCCTGGCAGATCGCTTTCCGGTTGGCCTTTTGCTCCTCTGACAACACTCGCGGCACAAACTTTGCGCACACTTTCCTCATGGCTAAGTTTTCTTTCACCATCTCAAAAACTTGGGTTTGAGGAATGCTCAAGTCATCAGCAATCATTCTGATACTCATCCTGCAATAAATTTTTCAGTAAATTCAGTAAATTTTTTTTTACAATTCAGTAAATTTTTCACTCGCGACACATTTTCGTTGGTCTTGATGGTCAAAGGGCGTCCGGAGCGGTCGTCGTCTTCCACTCTTTCCCTACCTTCTCGGAAAAGCTTGTACCACTCAAAAACACCCGATCTACCCATGGCAGCATCACCGTAGGCCTCCTTAATCACGTTGTGAGTCTCTTTGCCCGTTTTACCAAGCTTTACACAAAATTTGATCGCGTATCGCTGCTCCAGTAAACGCTCCATGATTTTCCGTGACGAGGCCTTTCGACAGGTGTTCACAGTACAAGCAACCTGCTCTCTTCAACGGCCGATAGCCGACTGCCGATTTTTCCCAGCATTCCCAATATCTCCCTCCACCGATCCTGCGTGCGCAGACCGCCTCTTGTCCGCCCGTTTGCCCAGGAAAAAGCCAGTCCTACTACTTTCAGAACAGACCATGTACCTTCTCAGCTCCAGTGGGAACAACTAGAAGAGGAATTCAGATGCACATTGAATTTAATGTTGAAAACATCAGGCCTCTTTAGGTGAAGAGGCTCAGGATAGAATTATGTAGAATAAAAAAATTGGATTTAGGTGCTTTTATTCCTTTTGCCTGAAATGAGAAGGATGCATCATTCATAGTAAGAGTTAGCAAAGCTTATTCAGATGAGCCAAGAAAATCATTATTAAAAATATGCAATTATTACAAATAATGGCTGAACAGTTCTAAAGAGTTTAATTATAATTTAGGTAGTTAGAGTGTGCCACGTTGTAAATTAAATACCCTTTACCTTTGAGAAACACTTTATAATATAAAACACCTTGAAATCACAAGCTGTCACTGCACAATCTAGTAGTTTTGGGAAAGTCTTGAAATTATGAACTTCAAAGCTTACAGAAAAAAAAAAAAATGATCATTAGAAGCATTTATGTTGGTATAAAATGCTGCCAGGTGCCCACCAAGATGTTCTCTCACTCCCCCTCCTTGGCAGTAAAAGGGCAGAAATTATGATTAAAAAAAAAAAAAAAGAAAGAACAACAAAACTCATGGGTTGATATTAGGACAGGAAGATCACTCACCAATTACAATCACGATCAAAACAGACTCAGCTTGGGGAAGATTAATTTAATTTATTGCCAATTAATAACAGTGTAGAGCAGCGAGAACTAAAAGCAAACTAAAAACCACCTTCCCCCCATCCATCCTCTTCTACATTCTCCCCCTGAGCGGAGCAGGGGAGCAGGGAATGAGGACTGTGTTCAGCTTATAATGCTTCATCTCCGCCACTCCTTCACGGTCACTCTCTTCCCCTGCTCCAGTGTGGGGTCCCACCTATGGGATGCAGTCCTTCACAAGCTGTTCCAACGTGGGCTTCCCACAGGCTGCAGTTCTTCAAGAACTGCTCCAGCATGGGTTTTCTCCACAGCGTGCAGTCCTTCAGGAACACACTGCTCCAGTGTGGGTCCCCCATGGGCTGCAGCTTCCTTCAGGGTATATCCACCTGCTGTGGCATGGGGTCCTCCATGGACTGCAGTGGGACAACCTGTTTCACCAGAGAAGGGCGACGAAGCTGGTGAGGGGCCTGGAGAACAAGTCCTACGAGGAGCGGCTGAAGGAGCTGGGCTTGTTCAGCCTGGAGAAGAGGAGGCTCAGGGGCGACCTTATCGCTCTCTACAGGTACCTTAAAGGAGGCTGTAGCGAGGTGGGGGTTGGCCTCTTCTCCCACGTGCCTGGTGACAGGACGAGGGGGAATGGGCTTAAGTTGCGCCAGGGGAGTTTTAGGTTAGATGTTAGGAAGAACTTCTTTACTGAAAGGGTTGTTAGGCACTGGAACAGGCTGCCCAGGGAGGTGGTGGAGTCACCATCCCTGGAAGTCTTTAAAAGACGTTTAGATGTAGAGCTTAGGGATATGGTTTAGTGGGGACTGTTAGCGTTAGGTCAGAGGTTAGACTCGATGATCTTGAGGTCTCTTCCAACCTAGAAATTCTGTGATTCTGTGTGATTCTCTGCAGGCTACCTGGAGCACTTCCCCCTTCTTTACTGACCTTGGTGTCTGCAGGATTGTTTTTCACATTTTCCCATTTGTCTCTCTCACAGCTGATGTGCAGCATTTTTTAAACTTTCTTAAATATGTTATCACGGAGGTGCAACTAGCATTGCTCATTGTCTCAGCTTTGGCCAGTGGTGGGTCTCTTTTGGAGTAAGCTCTTATCTGACCTGGGGCAGCTTCTGGTCTCTTCTCAGAGGCTGCCCCTGCAACCCCCCTGCTACCAAAACCTTGTGACATGAACTCAATACAAGTACAAAGATTGGTTAACATTTACAAAACAAACAAAAAATGCAACAAAACCCTGAAGAAAAAAAAAAACAACAACAAAACAAAACACAAAACAATCACGAATCATCTTTAGTAATGATGCTTACAGGTATTTTCATTTATAACAATAAAAATCAGACTAAGCTTTGGATGTTTATTACTTTTATTTCCTTTCAGTTTGGTTGTTTGCAGGCATGCAGCGAACAGTGTTTGTTTACAAACAAGCTTGAAGAGACTATGCAGATCACTTTCTGCTATCACATGGACTGTTGGTGCTTTGCCGGTCATGCATTTGCACAGAGATGCTTTATTTAGTATTGATCTCTCTATTATTCAGTTCTAGCTAAGAAATAAAAAAACAATTCACTTACCTGTAAAACCCATGATGTACATTTAATTGAGAACTTGTTTATTAATATTAAATGTTAACATTATATAATTCTATTAATATACTTTAATAAGAACTACTAAATTGCTAGAACACTACAAAATTTCTGCATGTATATTAGAGATGGAAAACAATTTTATAAAAATAAATTAAAAACAAGGTGGTATTACCTGTAAGGCCTCCTGTTTATTATAGAATTCATTATCATCTGGTGGTTTAATGAGGTAGCAATGGTTACAACACTTCTTGAGTTCCATCATGATGTTCAAAAAGCCTGAGGTACTGCCTTTTGAACCTTTACTCAGGGCTTTATAATTCCTGGTTAAAATCCACCTATGATATAAAACGTGTAGTGGAAGTAATTTCTAACATGTCATATTTCCACAAATGGTAAGCTCTCAAAATATCATTTCAAATTGCATCATGAAAACTATTACACTTCATTACTTTTCATACAGACATCTAATTAAAATAGTGCGATTTTAAAAGTGTCATTACTTACTTGTAATATTGCTTCTGTAATGCACTCATTTCCATCCTCAAAATTTGCTCAACCTTAGCAGGTAAAGACTTTTCTACATCTTTTTTAACTCTTCTGAGTAGAAACGGTTCAAGTTCTTTGTGAAGACTTGCATAACCAAACTCTCTCCCTTTGCCATGTTCCTCTTCAAAATCTTCCCAGGAAGAAAACCTTCAACATAAGAAAGAATAAAGGGAGAATAATGACACAGTATGAATGACCTGAAGAAGCAACAGCGAAGAAACAGAACACATAAAACCCATAAATATACCACATGCACACAAAAGCATATGGACTCATTCCCCACTCCCCTCTGTTTCATTCAATAAATTTCTGAATTTTCATCTCACAAGCAATTCTAAACATTTTGTCTGCAAATAGTAGAATGGAAGTTTCCAAACACTTTTGCAAAATGAAAGTTCAAAACAAACTACTAAATTTTAATTTCTCCAATGAAAGCTCTGCATTTTACTTTTCTGCATGGAAACCCAGGTAGAAGGTTACAGAAATTCCATTATTATATTTCTCAAGAGCAGCATGAGAAAAAAAAAGTTGCATGGCTGGAGGGAGTGCAAGAGAACAGACCACTTTACATACTTCTTGCAGATTGGATGGTCTAGCTGAAATTTGATTATCCTCTGATATGTGCTAACAGACTAAGAAAATGGACTGTAAGGTTCTGAAGAAGTCGATGTAATGCATAGCTCCGAAATTGGAGCTACAGTGATTTGTATTCACAAGATATCTGAAAGGAACATGTGTTCTCCTTTATTCCAGATATAAACAGAGGTCACTACAGAATAATGTCAATACAATAAACGTGTTGTATGCAAACCATAAGGCTGCCTGACTGAACTACTGTATATCAGGCATCATGGTACAAACTTGTTCTCATTAATGGTACTAACACAGAAAAGAAGACATCCTCAGCCCCATTCTGTTTCCATACAGTAAGTCCATGTGGTTTTCCTTTTAGATTAAGATACGTGTTTTCAGGGAAAAAGACGTATATCAATCAACCATACATCAATATCAATCAACCACATACATCAATCCACCCTTTTTGTGGACTGCTAAAACAGAAAAAGCAGCAACTGCTACCAGAATGACTTATCAAAAATAGAATGAAAAATAGTATGAAAAAGTATGTACATCTATTTTATATAAGATATTTAAACTGTTTCACAAAGTAATTCTCTATCTCTATTGATTCTCCAATCACTAAAATATTCCACCATAAGAAACTAGATAAATAAATAAAAAGAACCATGTAAAACTCTTCCTTACTTTTCTGGCATGATGAAGTGCAGCAAAGACCAAAGCTCTTTGAGGGAGTTTTGCAGAGGGGTTCCAGTAATAAGAAGACGATGATTAGACTTGAAGTCTATTAAAGTCTTGTACAGAAGGGAATCATCATTTTTTAAACGATGAGCTTCGTCAACCCCTATAAACACCCAATTCAGACCACCAAGGAATGACTTAAAGAAATTGGGATGGGGGAAGAAGACATTAAACAAGTTAATATATTATGGAATTTCTGACATTTTACATGAGGTTATAAATCCCATCACTTTTTTATTTTAATACCATATGGACACCTATGCATTTTTAGCATCAATTATAGTTTTTATGTTTGCAGGATTCAACAAAAGGTTATGGAAGCATCCCAAGTTTAAAAGAAAAGAAAAAGGCTAAATAAAGTTGATCTATAAATTTTCAAATAAAATAAATAAATAATAATAAAAAAAAAAACAGAATAGACTATCTTCTTTCCAGTATGTACAAACAAATGAAGTAAAGAAGTTCCACTCATTTGGCTTTCAGTTAAAATTTTCATATGCCATTAAGATTAACAATAACTCTATGGGCTACCATCATAGAAATAGTAAGAATATACATACTACTGCACACACAAATACAAAGAAAACATGGATTTCAGAGTTGTGAATCACAGGTGTTTGGGGCTATGAGTTGGTTTGGTTTTTTTTTCAGTTCCTGGATGATAGTCTACAAAAAAGTAGAGCATTTTGAGAAGTGAAGAAATTACTACAGTAATGAGAAGCCCAAGCAAACTGATATGGAGAAAAAAAAAGGGGGGGGGGAGAAAGCCATACCACACATACAGAAAATATAAATGTGTTTTTTTAAAAAAAGAACACTTCACTGCCATATTTCTAAAAGCAACGTTGTCATACTCCACATCCAGAACCAAAATACGTGCAACTCAAAAACATTTGTCAAATGTAAAACTCATTTAATCACCCTGAAGAAATAAGTGTAATTACCTTATCCTTCAGCAAAATTTCATAAGTTGTTAGAAGTATATTAAATTTTAATCGTTTGGTCTGTGGATGCATCCATTCATGAGTTCTTATCTATAAAAAGAATCAAGAAAATTGTAAGCTAGAAGAAAAACAGTCTTATTGGTCAGTATGACTTTAAGAACTACAGCAATATAAATGTTAAGTGACATACAATAATCTGATCACAAAACAGGAACACAATACTCAAGCTATTAATTTAAACTTCTGAAAAAATGACAAAATTTCCACAAAACTTTTTTTTTTTTTTAATTTAACAGTTACTTACGTTCCTCATTTCAGAAAAGGAATTAAAATTGTGGCTGGTATACTTAAATATTTATATTTATTTTATGGACCTAAATAATTTCATGACAAAAGACAATTTATTTTCAAATGCAAGGTTGCATTTTTAATCATTTTTATTATTAAGCAGGAAGGGAATCTTTCACATACATTTATATCAGAACAAAATTTAAGCTTTTAATTTGCATTTTAAAAACAAAATATTTCAAATAAGTATTTGAAATATTTATTAAATAAATATATTATTTATTGATATTTATATATCAGGCCCAGATATTTATATCGGAGATTAGCATAAGACAGGAAATGAAATGAGTCTTGCTTTTTACCACTAAGCTTTTTCAATGATACAAAGAAATACTCACCATATTTCTGCTAGTTATATCTCCTAAGTAAACCACAGCATTCATCTGAGGAGCCCAAGTTTGAATCTCTCTTTGCCAAGACGTCAAGGTAGAAAGTGGCACGACCAGCAAAAAAGGCCCATACAGTTGATGTTCATGGAACAGGTAGTTCAGAAAAGAAATTGTTTGTATTGTTTTTCCCAAACCCATTTCATCTGCAAGAATACAACTATTCCCTCTAAAAAAAAAAAAAAAAAAGGAAAAAAAAAAAACAGTTTTATAAATGCTTACAATTTAAAAACAGCAAAACTCATTTAAGACTATACTTACTTGCACCATGAGTGAGCAAGCCAATTCAGTCCATTTAACTGATAATCTCTTAACTCTAAACTCTCATGTCCTCCAATATAAGATGGCTGCTTCTTTAGTGCAACAAACCTTGGCCTCTGTTTAAGAATCTGTCAAAAGCAAATTGAGCATCAGTCCTGCTACTGACTGAAGTTATCAAAATGCTTTCCTATAGAAACAAATTAGCGGTAGAAATGTTGTTGAGTTACCAATTCTACTGTTTATTCATCACAGACAACTAGGCCATACAACATCAACTCACTTGCAAGTTGAAGGAGCAAGTTGAATGGCTGAACTACATTCCACAACAGAAGTGACATTAACTCTTTCACAAAGGATACTTTTAAAAAACTAAGAATACCAAATTCCATCTTTGAACGGTAATAAAAGAAGCAGGGAACAAATATCTACAAAAAACTATTCTCAGTAATGATACTTACTTCATATATAAATATAGCTATCATTACTATTCTGAACAACCTTCAAAAATATTTTATAATTAGCATCTGATCTCAGGATGCATAAAATACTTCAACTTTTTTTTCTTTTTTAAAATTATCACAACTGTATAAATCCATTGCAATTACACACTCACCTTGCAGTCCTTAAATGGAGTGGTCTTGGACTGATTTCTGCTAAAATACTCATCAATACATGCCTGAAATTTTTTGGCAATGAGAGCACCGTCTTCCCAGCTACATTCTGAGTAAGGCAGACCCTGCCATTTGCAATAGTAATCTGGATAACCAGCTGCTGATTTCTGATTTGAATGAGCTGCAGAAACGTATCAGAGATACCATATCAATATTTTCCTTTTGTTTTTTAAGAAAGCACTCATTTTAAGTGATAAGACAACATGAACTAGTTTCACAGCAAAGACAGTACAATGAGTTTTCTCTTTATCAGATTTTGTTTTGCCTTAAGTTGTTAGGGATACTTATAACCTAAATTTCTTAACTATAAAGGCAACGTGAAAGTAATGAACACAGAATATTCTCAACACTGTTTTCTGTTTGCAAGTTTGTCACGTACCAATTATCCTTTCCACTACTTGATATTGTTTATGTAGATCATCTGTAAGTTCCTGCTGGCAGTTATAATATTCCACATCTTCTGGAGAAGCATTTTTCAGCCTGAAATGGAAATTTATTTAAAGCACTTATTACATTATGTAGTTATAAAACTAAGAAAATGCGGCAATTCTAAAGCTCTGAATGTAAACATCATGGGAATGCTGCTTAGAGAGCTTCTTTGAAGGAGCTACAACTCTGAATGAAATTCCTGCTATAAAAGTGTTGCATCTGGCCTGAGAAAGCTAAATTAAGAGACATTTCTATCAGCTACAGCTTGTACTAGTTATGCAGATAATTTACAATGTCTATTCTCAACAGCGAGTAGTATACTTCACATGGTATTTTCATAAAACAGCACTAATAATCACGCTAATAAGAATCCATTTTATGAGTATGAGATGCTAAAAATCCCACCAGCACTCACAGATTATATTAAACACGCTAATAACACTGAACACAAAAAGGTAGCACTAAAACATAAGGATTTCTTCAGTTCTTGGTTCTGAGGCTTTAAAGGAAGTTTGAGCCAAAAAAGCAAATGCTGTAATGTTTTGAGTGCTTTAGGAATTTCAGGGTTTTTTCTTTACTTTTTATTTTGAATAATCTCTGCATGAATTCCCAAAGAACTCTGATCAAAGTACAATCAATGACAAAACTAGTAAAAGGTAAGATTTAAAACAAAACCAGAAAACTCACCACTCACCTTGTTAAAACTTCATTTATAACGTGCATTAAAGTCTAGGTGCAAAAGCTGGTTCCTTAAAAGGCCTGATTTTACAGAAGGTGTGAGTATACTCACTTTCTCAACCAAATTTGGAATGCTCAGAATGTTACAGGATCATAAGTATTAGGGAAGCTTCAACTTATATTTTGTCTTCCTGTTGTAAAGGCACTTGATATGCCTTCATAAAGAGGCAATGGAACATACATAAACACAATAAAACATCTATACTGTTACAAAATATGTTACATGGAAGTAGTTATAAAAACACTCACCATCGTTTTGTTTCCTGATACTTTTTCTTATAGTTGTCCAGTTTCTTCATTCCTTTAACATTTTGTTGCTTCAGGGTTTCCTCAGTTTCCCAAGTATTATGTATGTGTGACCAACCTTTCCATTTAATAAGATACTGAACTTCTCCTGGCTCCTTTGACTTTTCAAAACCAGCATTTGGGTCACCATCTGCCTCGACTGCATAGATAGTGGTTGCAGCACCAGTGGCTGAATAAGACACCACACCATTAGGCTTGATTAAGAATGCACTGCCATAAATTAAACAGTAAAAAATGTACTGCAGAAAACAACCTGATGTTTCTACCTAAGCATGTACCTTGACTAATTTCACCTACAATACTTATGTCACTCCTCTTATTTTAATATTATGATGAAACTAAGTTAATACATGTAAAAATACTCCAAAGAGTCAAAACAGAAACCAAAACACTTTGCATCGAACCTATAGTACCTCATCTTTTCTTATTAGAATTTTCTTGTCGCCCCTAGTTTTTTTTGTGAACCCCAGGGAACGCTCCACAAGGACTGCTTGATGCCATCTTTACTATATTCTTCTCCTCTCTGAGCATATAATAGATATTTAACATTAGGCTTGATCAGCCTTGCAACTTGAAAAACCTACTATTCAGCTATGAAAACAATTAACAGAATCACAGAATGGTTGAGGTTGGAAGGGGCCCTCTGGAGGTCATCTGGTCCAAGCCCCCTGCTCAAGCAGGGACACCTAGAGCAGGTTGCCCAGGACCACAGGCCTAGGACCACAGGCCCAGGACCACAGGCTTTGGGCAACCTGTTCCACTGCTCCATCACCCACACAGTAAAAAGAAAAAGAAAAAAGTGCTTCCTGATGTTGAGATGGATCCTCCTGTGTTTCCATTTGTGCCCATTGCCTCTCGTCCTGTCACTGGGCACCACTGAAAAGAGCCTGGCTCCATCCTCTTCGCATCCTCCCTTCAGGTATTTATAGACATTGATGAGATACCCCTGGGCCTTCTCTTCTCCAGGCTAAACAGTCCCAGCTCTCTCAGCCTCTCCTCATAGGAGAGATGTTTCAGTCCCTTAATCATTTTTGTGGCCCCTTTGTTGGACTCTCTCCAGTAGATCCAGGTCTCTCTTGTACTGGGGAGCCCAGAGCTGGACACAAAACTCCAGGTGTGGCCTCACCAAATCCGAGTAGAGGGGAAGGATCACCTCCCTCCACCTGCTGGCAGTACTTTGCCTAATGAATGCATCCCAGGATATCATTAGCCTTCTTTGCTGCAAGGACACATTGCTGGCTCATGCTCGACTTGGTGACCCCCAGGACCCCCATAGACTTTTCTGCAAGGTTGCTTTACAGCTGGGTGGCCCCCAGCATGTGCCGGTGCCTGGGGTTGTTCCTTTCCAGGTGCAGGACTTTGTACTTCCCCTTGTTGAACTGCATGAGGTTCCTCTCTGCCCATTTCTCCAGTTTGTCCAGGTCCCTCTGGATGGCAGCAAGACCCTCTGGTGTATCCACCGTGCCCCTCTATTTTGTGTCATCTGCAGACTTGCTGAGGGTACACTCTGCCCCATCATCCAGATCATTAATGAAAACGTTGAACAGGACTGAGTCCAGTATTGACCCCTGCAGTACACCCCTAGTTACTACTGGCCTCCAACTAGACTGTGTGCCGCCGACCACCACCCTCTGGGCCCAGCCATTCAGACAGTTTTCAAACCACCTCGCTGTTTGTCCATCCAGCAATGGCCACTTTAACAGCTTGTCTATGGGGATCTTATGGGAGACAGTGTCAAAGGCCTTACTGAAGTCCAGGTGGACTATATCCACTGCTCTCCCCTCATCCATCAGGCTGGTCATATCATTATTGAAACTTATCAGATTGGTCAAGCATGACTTCCTCTTGGTGAATCCATGCTGGCTCCTCCTGATGGTTTTCTTGTCCTTCGTATACCTGGAAATGGTTTCCAGGATTAGCTGCTCCATTACCTTCCCAGGCATCAAGGTGGGGCTGACTGGCCTGTAGTTCCCAGGGTCCTCCTTCTTGCCCTTTTTGAAGATAAGAGTGACATTTGCTTTCCTCTAGTCTTCAGGCACTTCTCCCAGTCACCATGATCGAGCAAAGATTATCAAGAGTGGCCTTGCGAGGACATCTGCCAGCTCCCTCAGTACTTGTGGCCCCATCAGGGCCCATGGACTTATGAATGTCCAGTTTGCTTAAGTATTCCTTGACCTGATCATCTCCCACCATGGATCCATCTTCCTTCCTCCAGCCTTTCCCCCAGGTCTCTGGGACCTGGGATTCCTGAGGGCCAGCCTTGATGGTAAAGACCAAGGCAAAGAAGGCATTCAGTACCTCAGCATTTTCCCTGTCCCGTGTAACCAGGTTCCCCATCTTATTCAGCAATGGGCCCACATTTTCCCTAGCCTTCCTTTTGTCACTAATGTACTTATAGAAGCCCTTCTTATTGTCCTTGACATCTATGGACAGATTCAATTCCATCTTGGCTTTGGCATTCGTAACTTCATCCCTGGATGCTCAGACAATGTTTCTGCATTCTTCCCATGTTACCCATCCTTGCTTCCACTCTCTGTATGCTTCCTTTTTGTGTTTTAGTTTGGCCAGAAGTTCCTTGATCTTTCATTCTTGCCTCCCAGCATTTTTGCCTGATTTCTTGATTATTGGAATGTACTGATCTTATGTTATGTCTTCCTAACCTCTTTTTACAACATTTTTCCCCCTGCATTTGGAATTTTATGTGGAGTAAGTTTTAATTACATTAAGTCTGTATTACTGCTGCTAGTATGCTTCATCTGTAAACAAGCTCATTTCTGTGAGAAGAGCCAAGAAAGGAAGATCTAGCAACAGAGAGTGACAATAACAAAGAACAGCACAAACAGTAACATCTAAGCATACAGAATACAAGAAGCCTTATTCAAAAGGCTTTTAACACAGCAGTGATACTTTGCATTTGAGTAAGTGGCTGGAGTAAAGATACAATGGCATTTAGGACAGTATGGGAGAAGGAAGGTGAGAGGGAAGAGAGTGCAAGCTCTATAGCATATCAGAAACTCTAGAAATTAGGTATAACCCATGAAGAAAGGCAGTTTTGAAGTGTTAGGGGGGCCAAATTTTCTATGATTTGAACCCTAATTTTCAGACTAAAAAAACACTTAAGTAGGATACTGCATCCTATCAGCTAATGAAAATGAGACCCCTATCATAATTCATAAAATTTTAGAAATTCATATCCAAGCACATTACTGAAATTTTAGATGCACTTTGTAGCCATTCCACCATCCACTGTATTGTATTGAGACTAATTATACAGGAATACCTGAAATCACCATCTCAGTGCTTCAGCCTTCCCAATACCATCCTTTAGGGTTCAGCCTACTGGTTAGATGCCCTATCCAGTCCACTTTCTCTGCCTCACTGTAAACAGCTTATACCTATCATGTAATCAATAAACTGTACAAATAGTAGTTTAACAGCATGGTATGCAGTTGTGTAATATGGAGCTATCTTCCACATATTTTTTTTCTTTTTTCATTAGTTATGCAAGTTCTTCTATGCTTTATTTTATAAAGTTTACAAAAGAAACATACACATATGAGTATGAAAAACAAGATGATTCCCTGGTATTTTTAAACTTATTGTTTACAATCACAGGTGACCTACAGCTGAGAACAACTGACATTTATATTGCACAATGTACTCCACCATCTTCCTGGAGCCTGGATCAGGGATATCACCAGGATACTCCCCAACCTGCTGCGCTCCACAGACTACTACCCACTGCTGATCTTCCAGATAGGTGGAGGGGAAGATGCATCCCATAGTCTGACGGGAATGAAGAAAGATTTCAAGGCCTTGGGACAGTTGGTGAAAGAGTCTGGGGCACAAGTCATTTCCTCCTTCTGATCTGGGGTGATGACATGAGATGGAATAGAAGGATCTGGTCCATAAATGATTTGCTGTATGACTGGTGCTATAGGCAGGGCTTTGGGTTCTTTGATAATGGCTGGTTTTATAAGACACCAGGCCTGACAGTAATACGTGGGAAAGGTTTATCTCACAGGGGGCAAAAGGGTTCTGGGACAGGAATTAGCAGGGCTCATTTGGAAAGCTTTAAACTAGATCCATAAGGGGATGGGGTTGTACCTGGGCTTGCAATGGTGGGGCAGAACTCTAGCAGTGAGGAAGACCGGGAGGCCTCCCACTCCCCTAGGGTGAAATCGGCGTGCTCAGCTCGCTCCCCGAAGTGCCTCTACACCAATGCATGTGGCATGGGGAATAAGTAGGAGGAATTAGAAATCCATGTTCAGTCAGGAGACTATGATCTCATGGCAATTACAGAGACATGGTGGGACAGCTCAAGTGACTGGAATGTGGTCACGGATGGGTATGTCCTTCTCAGAAAAGACAGGCCAGCAAGGCAAGGTGGCAGAGTTGCTCTTTACGTGACAGAGCAACTACATTGTATTGAGTACTGTTCGGGGCAGATGAGGAGCAAGTTAAGAGTCTGTGGGTGAGAATTAAGGGGCAGGCTGGCATGGGGGATACTGTTGTGGGTGTCTATTACAGGCCACCAGATCATGATGAGGAAGTTGATGAGGCCTTCTACAGGCAGCTGATAGCAACCTTGCGATAACAGGCCCTGGTTATTGTGGGGGATTTCAACTACCCTGACATTTTCTGGAAGGCCTACTCAGCCAGCCATCTGCAATCCAGGAGGTTCCTTCAGTGTATTGATGATAACTTCCTGATGCAAATGGTGGATGTGCCAACTAGGAGAGGAGCGCTGCTGGATCTTGTCCTCACTAACAAAGAGGGGCTGGTTGAAATGGTGAAGGCAGCCTTGATTGCAGTGACCATGAGATGGTGGAGTTTAGGATCTCGTGTGGCAGGAACAGAATACCGAGCAGAATCACAACCCTGGACTTCAGTAGGGTCAACTTTGGCCTTTTCAAGCATTTGCTAGGGGAAATCCCATGGGACAAGGTACTTGAAGGAAAAGGAGCCCAAGATAGCTGGTTAGCTTTCAATGACTGCTTCTTCCGAGCTCAAGAACAGAGCATCCCAACAGGTAGGAAGTCAGGAAAAAGAGCCAGGAGACCTTCATGGTTAAACAGGGAACTGCTGGGCAAACTCAAGTGGAAGAGGAGAGTCTACAGATCATGGAAGGAGGGGCTGGCCACTTGGGAGGAATATAAGGCTGTTGTCAGAAGATGTAGGGAAGCAACTAGGAAAGCTAAGGCCTCTTTAGAATTAAACCTTGCAAGAGGGGTCAGGGACAACGGAAAAGGCTTCTTCAAATACACTGTGGATAAAACTAACAGTAGAGGCAATGTAGGCCCACTGATGAATGAGGTGGGTGCCCTGGTGACAAAAGATAAAGAGAAAGCAGAGTTACCGAATGCCTTCTTTGCCTCTGTCTATAATGCCAGAGGCTGTCCTGAGGAGCCCTGTACCCCTGAGTCCCCAGAGGAAGTGAGAATAAAGGAGTTTGCCTTGGTTGATGAGGGCTGGGTTAAGTACCGATTAAGAAATCTGGACATTCATAAGTCCATGGGTCCTAATGGGATGTGCCCGCAGGTGCTGAGGGAGCTGGCGGAAGTCATTGCTAAGCCACTCTCCATCATCTTTGGTAAGTCGTAGGGAATGGGAGAGGTGCCTGAGGACTGGAGGAAAGCAAATGTCACTCTGGTCTTCAAAAAGGGCAAGAAGAAGGACCTGAGTAACTATAGACCAGTTAGCCTCACCTCCATCCCCAGTAAGGTGATGGAACAACTTATCCTTGGCATTGTCTCTAGGCATATCAAGGATAAAAGGATCATTAGGGGCAGTCAACATAGCTTCACCAAAGGGAAGTCGTGCTTGACCAACCTGATAGCCTTTTATGAGGATATAACCAGGTGGATAGATGATGGAAAGGCAGTGCACATGGTCTATCTTGATTTCAGTAAAGCCTTTGACACCGTCTCCCACAGCATCCTTGCAGCTAAACTGAGGAAGTGCAGTCTGGACCATTGGGTAGTGAGGTGGACTGTAAACTGGCTGAAGAGAAGAAGCCAGAGGGTTGTGGTCAATGGGATGGAGTCGAGTTGGAGGCCTGTATCTAGTGGAGTCCCTCAAGGGTCAGTACTGGGACCGGTGTTGTTCAATACATTCATCAATGACTTGGATGAGGGAATGGAGTGCACCATCAGCAAGTTCACTGACGACACTAAACTGGGAGGAGTGGATGACATGCTGGAAGGCTGTGCTGCCATCCAGTGGGACCTCGACAGGCTGGAGAATTGGGCGGGGAAAAAATTAATGAAATATAACAAGTGTAGAGTCCTGCATCTGGGCAAGAACAACCCCAGACACCAGTATAAGTTGGGGACTGCCCTGCTGGAGAGCAGTGAAGGGGAAAGGGACCTGGGGGTCCTGGTGGACAGCGGGATGACCATGAGCCAACAGTGTGCCCTTGTGGCCAAGAAGGCCAATGGCATCCTGGGGTGTATCAGAAGGGGTGTGGTTAGTAGTTTGAGAGAGGTTCTCCCCCCCCTTCTACTCTGCCCTGGTGAGACCGCATCTGGAATATTGCATCCAGTTCTGGGCCCCTCAGTTCAAGAAGGACAGGGAACTGCTTGAGAGAGTCCATCTCAGAGCTACAAGGATGATTAAGGGAGTGGAGAATCTCCCTTATGAGGAAAGGCTGAAGTAGCTGCGTCTCTCTAGCTTGGAGGAGACTGAGGGGTGACCTTATTAATGTTTATAAATATGTAAAGGGTGAGTGTCAGGAGGACGGAGCCAGGCTCTTCTCAGTGACATCTAATGACAGGACAAGGGGCAATGGGTGCAAGCTGGAACATAGGAGGTTCCGCTTAAATATGAGACAAAACTTTTTTACAGTGAGGGTGACAGAACAGGCTGCCCAAGGGGGTTGTGGAGTCTCCTTCTCTGGAGACACTCAAAACCTGCCTAGACGTGTTCCTGTGTGACATGATTTGGGTGTTCCTGCTCCGGCAGGGGGATTGGACTAGATGATCTTTCAAGGTCCCTTCCAATCCCTAACATTCTGTGATCTTAAGAACGCTGATTTAAAAAAAATACCTCCTTTTCGGCCAATTCGACTATCCATAAACTTCTCTATAGTTTCAAATTCATCTTCTTCAGGCTGCAGGACATCTTCTCCACAAACTTCCAGCAAGTCATCAGAATCTGTCTTAGCTTCTTCAGCTTCTTTGTAACTAACATTGACTGTTGCCTGGCGACGAGATCCTCTCTTGTCATAATCGTCATCATCATCATCTGATGAATCAAGCTGCCTCTTTTTCTGTCCTGCATTCTTTTTACCATTTTTTGGCTTAATTCTTGAAAACAATAAAATAGAACAGTGGGGTTTCAACATGTACAACCACAAGCCTTCTGTATTTGTTTCTTAATACATATATTTCATGACTGCTCAGTTACTCCACTTTCAGATACAGTACAGAGGCATTCAACACAAAACACTGGTATGATAACATCTTTTGTAGCTTAGTCTTCAGTTTCTGTAATATGTATTAATGTTTTCATTTGCCTGTACAGTAGTACAATACTAAATTTCTAACTTGAAATAGTACTAGAGTATCCAAAATGTGAGACTTCTTACCTCCTTGGAGGTTTCTGGCTTTTGACCTTGTTTTTTGGCTCATAGTCAGATTCACTCTCTTCACAACTGCTTTTCTCTCTATCTTCCTCTGATTCAGAATCAGAACCAGTTCCCGATACTGACCCTGACCCAGACATTTGCCAGTCTTCACTGTACATATTGAAAGACAAAACAGTAACTCGCATTAGTTTTGTTTTCTTTTATAATCAGGTATTCACCACGGGTTTGCTGCTTTAATTTCAACATTCTCCATAGAAATAAAAATGTTATAATCATTATTTCAGCAGAAAGAACAGAAAATTATCATGAATGGATAATAGATGGGTAAAAATGCATAATGGTTTCAAAGGGAATTGAATTGTTTTCTATTATCAAGATGTAAATTAAAAAAATAAAATAAAATCTGGATTTCTGTATAAATTACAGCTTTAAGAAATGAATTAACTTGACATTAAAAAAAAGTACTTAACAAGACTTTAGCTGAAAAGATATATGTTTACTGGAACTTACCTATGCTCAAATTATAAACTCCCTTAAAATTATATTTTGTAGAGTCCAAAATTCTCTGATAACTATGTTCACTGTGCCTCATGTGAGAAATCAGCAACTTTGGCACAGGAACCAAAAATAATGCAGAATCAGATGTGAGAAACACAGAAAGACTTGAACAAAGGCAATCTGAAAGGCACTGGCTCCCAAAAGCCTTCACTGAGCTCCCAGATCAATACTTCACACCCATACAAGATATGAGTAAGCCACTTGTGACTTCCAGTGGCAGTATCTCTGTGCTGCTGCTTAGCTAAGATGATCCATTTGCAACAAGAAAGAAGCACCCGCTGATCAACAGTATCTTACCTCAGATTCCTGAAATGCCTAAAAGACAATGCAGTCATTGGTCATAGCCAACACGAGTTTATGAGGGAAAAGTCCTGCTTAACTAACTTAATTTCCTTTTATGACAGGTTACCCATCTAGTTGACCAAAGGAAGCCATTAGATGTAATCTTTTTGGATTTCAGAAAAACTTTCAATACTGTTTCTCACAGTATCCTTCTGGACAAAATGTCCAACATACAGCTAGATAAATACATAATACGATGGGTGAACAATTGGCTGACGGGTCAGGCTCAAAGGTTTATAGTAAATGGGATTATATCAGGCTGGTGGCCAGTCACTAGTAGGGTTCCACAGGACTCCATTTTAGGGACAGTTCTCTTCAATGTTTTTATAAGTGACCTGGATGCAGGACTTAAATGTATACTAAATAAGTTTGCGGATGATACTAAATCAGGAGAGGCTGTTGACTCCCTTGAGGGTAGAGAGGCTTTGTATAGAGATCTTGACAAATTAGAGGGCTGAGAAATTTTGTATGAAATTCAACAAGAGCAACCTGGGACAATTCAACTTGCACCTGGGACAGGGCAACCCTTGATATATGCACATATTGCAGGATGAGAGGCAGGAGAGCAGCCCCGCAGAAAGAGATCCAGAGGTTGATAGCAAGTTGAATATGAGTCAGCAGTGTGCCCTGGCAGCCAAAAGGGCCAATCATATCCTGGGGTGCATCAAGCACGGCAGAGCTAGCCATTTGGAGGAAGTGTTTGTCCCATTCTACTCTGTACTGATATGGCCTCACCTTGAGTACCATGTGCAGTTTTGGGCACCACAATAAAAGAAAGATATGAAACTATTAGAGAGTGTCCAAAGAGGGGCTACAAAGATGGTGAAGGCTCTAGAGGACAGGACGTATGAGGACCAGCTGAGGTCACTTGGTTTGTTCAGCCTAGGGAAGAGTAGACTGAGGGGTGACCTCATCACAGTCTACAGCCTCCTCACAAGGCAGAGCAGAGGGAGGCACTAATCTGTTCTCTCTGGTGAACACTGGGAGCATAAAGCTGCATCAGGGACATTCAGGTTGGATATTAGGAAATGGTTCTTCACTGAGAGGGTGGCTGGGCACTGGAATGGGTGCCCCAGAGAAGTAGTCATGGCACCAAGCCTGCTAGAGGTCAAGAAGCATTTGGACAACACTGTCAGACATGTGGTTTGATTTCTGGGTAGTCTTGTGTGGAGCCAGGAGTTGGACTCGATGATCCTTGTGGGTCCCTTCCAACTTGGGCTATTCTATGACTCCAAGTTTACAAAGGCAAATGTAATATTAATAGCTTGGGGAAGGGAGAGCCTGGCATGCATTCTTGAAAGGTTCCTAAATCTTTATGCTACCATCTATTATCACGTTAAGGGGTCTTTGACCAAGATGCTGTATGGAGTTTACATGGCAAGGGTTTGGTAGCAGGGGGGCTGCAGGGGTGGCCTCTGTGAGAAGAATCCAGAAGCTGCCCCATGTTAGGTAAGAGACAATTTCAGGCACCTGAAAAAGGGACCTGCTGCTGGCCAGAGCTGAGCCAATGAGCAACATTGGTTATGCTTCTGTGAGAGCATAATTTTAAAAGGGAAAACAAACAAACAAAAACCCTGCTGTGCAACAGCAGCTGGGAGAGAGGTGTAAGAAACAACCCTGCAGACACCAAGGTCAGTGAAGAAGAAGGGGGAGGAGGTGCTCCAGAGCAGAGGTTCCCCTGCGGCCTGTGGTGACGACCATGGTGGAGCAGGCTGTCCCTCTGCAGCCCATGGTGTACCATGGTGGAACAGATTTCCACTCTGCAGCCTGTGGAGGAGCCCACAGTGGAGCAGGTGTATCTGGCCTGAAGGAGGCTGCAGCCCATGGAAAGCCTATGCAGGAGCAGAGTCCAGGCCAAAGCTACCGCCCATGGGGGACCCAGGTTGGAGCAGTTTGCTCCTGAGAGATGGACCCAATGGTATGGACCCATACTGGAGCAGTTCTTGAAGAGCTGCTGCCTGTGGGAAGCCCAAATAGGATTAGTTCGGGAAGTACTGCATCCCATGGAAGGGACCCCACGTTGGAGACACAGGAAGAGAGTGACTGTGAAAGTGAGGCAGAGATGAAGCATTATGGACTGACTGCAACCCCCATTCCCTGTTCCCCTGTGCGGCTCAGGGGGAGGACATAGAACAAGGTGGATGGGGAGGTGGAAAGGTGTTTTCATTTTGCTTTTAGTTTCTCAGTGTTCTAGTCTGCTAGTGATAGGCAATAAATTATATTAATCTCCCTATGATGAGTCTGTTTTGCCCATAACAATAATTGGCAAGCAACCTCCCTGTTCTTATCTCAACCCTTGAGCCATTTCCATCATACTTTCCCTTTGAGAAGAGGGAGTGAGAGAACGGTTGTGGGGGAGTTCAGCTGCCCAGCAGGGTAAAACCACCACATATGCTCATGTCCTTCAAGAAGTAGAATATTACTCAAAGGCTTCTTCATTAAATTTACGATTACAAAACCTAAGATTCAGTACTTCAACCCTTCTTTCACTTGAATATGCATTGGTCCTAGAAATTACAGTTTTATTGTGGTTGATACATATGCGTATCTTGGAAATGCTATGAAAACATCCATCTCCATGAAATATTTTTTCCAGAAGCAGTAAATTAAGAAACATGCAAACAACATCCCTCCAAAGCAAAACAAAAAAAACCAAGAACCAAAACAAACAACCCCCCCCAACCTCATGCAACTCCACAATCTGTATTTTTTGGAGAATCTCCATACTTTACTGGATGCAGGGGAAAACATGACTACAAATGATAAGGAAAAGGCTGAGGTTCTTTATATCTGTCTTTACTAGTCTGAACACTTATTCCCAGGGTACTCAGCCTCCTGACCTGGAAGTCTGGGACAGGGAGCAGAAGAAACCTCCCACAACCCAGGTGGAAACAGTTAGAGTCCTGCTGCTCCACCTGGACTGTCACAAGTCCATGGGGCCAGATGGGATCCACCTAAGGGTGCTGAGGGAGCTGGTGGATGTGATTGCTGGGCTGCGCTCCATCATCTATCAGGAGTCATGGTCATCTGGAGAGGTCCCAGATGACTGGAGACTTACTATTGTGACACCCATCTATAAGAATGGTCCATAAGGAGGACCCAGGGAACTACAGGCCTGTCAGCCTGACCTCGGTGCCAGGAAAGGTGATGGAGCAGGTCATCTTGAGTGCAATCACACAGCATCTGCGGGACAATGGGGGAATTAGGCCCAGTCAGCATGGGTTTGTGAAAAGCAAGTCCTGCCCGACCAACCTCATCTCCTTCTATGAGTGGGTGACCAGCCTGGTGGATGAGGGAAAGGCTGCTGACATGAAACAATGAGAAGAACTCATTGAGAGCAGCCCTACAGAGAAGGACTTGGGGGTTCTGGTGGACAAAATCTTGACAGGAGCCAGCAGCACACGCTTGCAGCCCTGAAGGCCAACTACATCCTGGGCTGCATCAGCAGAGGGGCGGCCAGAAGGTCGAGGGAGGTGATTTTCCCCCTCTATTCTGCACTTCTGAAACCTCAAAACAAAAACAAAAGGTCCTGGAACACAAGTCCTAAGAGGAGCGGCTGAGGGAACTCGGGTTGTTTAGTCTGGAGAAGAGGAGGCTCAGGGGAGACCTTATTGCTCTCTACAACTACCTGAAAGGAAGTTGTGGGGAGCTGGGGGTCAGCCTCTTCTCCCAGATAACCAGCAATTGGACTAGAGGGAATGGCCTCAAGTTGTGCCAGGGGAGGTTCAAGTTGGAAAGTAGGAGACATTTCCTATCAGGAAGAACAGTTAGGTATTAGAATGGGTTGCCCAGGGAGGTGGTAGAGTCACCATCCCTGGGGGTGTTTAAGGAAAGGTTGGACGTGGTGCTTAGAGACATGGTTTAGCGAGTGATATTGGTGGTAAGGGGATGGTTGGGACCAGATGATCTTGGAGGTCTTTTCCAACCTTAATGATTCTATGATATGGACAATATATAAAACACCATACTCTATGGTTTGATCCTGTACTAAGTTAAATAGATAAATATGATCTGCATGTCATAAAACAGCTGCAAACATACTTGTTCAAAACAGTCTGAAATGAAAATTGAAGCACTGGACATATGAGATTATTTGGTTACTAGTTTCTAAACTTAATATATATTTCCTATAACAAAGTATGGTTTTTAGGGTGTAATCACATTCTTAAATAACAGTGGACTATAAAAACTAATTCATCACTATAGAAGTACCATCTTGCATAGCAAGCTTTTTTTATTTTTATTTTTTAACTATCATTTCTTGAAGAATTCATATTGACAACCCTGAATATTGAGATGATTCATTAACTGGAGAAGAAGAGAGAATGATTCAATTTCTATATACTGTTCATTAACAGACACACCCACCCTTCCAAGGTCATTATGTTTATTCTCCTCTCATTGTGGCAATGAGAAGGTATGATCTTTGTCATAAATTGTTTGATTTACAGCTTAAAACCATCTCAATTTCAATTAAAGTGTCTTGGGTAGTCAATAAAGCTAATTACTGTCAAACCTGTAATAATTTTTGGAACTTTTAAAAGGCTTCAGCTCAAAAATATGCCACAAATATGACTGTTTTAAAAATAAAAATTGCTGGTGAATATTCTTCAACAAAACTTTAGGTAATGCAGTCTCTTTTGCTCAGAAATGAATAATGATATATATATGTTCCTTTGAGAGTATTTATTTTAAAATATTCTAAAACATTACTCAAAATCAAGAAGCACAAGATTATTTATTTCAAGTGCAGAGAAGTGAAGTCTGGATAATTACAAGCATATGTTGCCATAACAAAAAATGATGATATTTATGAAAGATAACTTACTCTCTATGTCTTTTCTTTTTGGTTTCACTGGATGAGTCACCTGCAGAATCTTCACTGCTCGATAAATCCTGCAGATGAAGTAAAAAAACATATATGATTCATTATCACAAAAAGAATGAAGTGTTTTTACTATTACAAAGATAATTCAGCTCCTACTTTCAAACTGAAATCATATTCATGTCTTATCTTCTTCACACACACCCTCCAGTATACTCACTGATATTGAGTAAGATTGGGATTACTATTGATTCTGTATTTATCCATCTATGAATATACTAGAACTCAAGAAGATACCACAAAAAAGTTTTAACAAATAATCAGTGTGTACATATAGTCAATGTTTAAACTGCTGGAAGTTAATAAATCAAGTTTTAAATTCTATCAAAAGCCTCAATAAAATTTCCTGCCCTTTGAGAGTTCTCTCACCTTTAAACATGACTAAGAAATTTTTCTGAATACTAGGTACGTTTCTTCTCTTTCTACTCCTTAAACCAAAAAAAAACTTAAAATTTTCTTTAAAATTATCTTAAAAAATCCTAAAACCATTCTAATGGGGAATAAGTTTACATCATTTTTACAATGAAAAAGAATTTTCAGGAAGAGTACTTAGCAACAGCTCAACAGCTATAAATTAACATTTTAACTCTATATGATTAACTCCTTTGTTTAGTTTTAATGATGAGCAGCTAAACTTGACCAAAACAAAAAAACAACAACAACAACAAAAAAAAAAACACACAACATTAAACAGTAATAAGACTTGTGACCAAAGTGGAATCAAATGATCGATCCCACTAACTACAGTGGAACTGACTGCAACCTCAGTAAGTTTGCAGATAACACCAAGTTGAGTGGTGGTGTTCATATCATAGAAAGAAGGGATGCCATCCCGAGGGACCTTGACAGGCTTGAGAAGCAGGCCCACATGAACCTCATGAAGGTCAACAAGGCCAAATGCAAGGTGCTGCACCTGGGTCAGGGTAATCCCAAACATCAACAAAGCTTGGGCTATAAATGGATTGAGAGCAGCCCTGCAGAGAAGGGCTTAGGGGTGTTGGTGGTTGAAAAATGGGATATAAGGCAGCAGTGTGTATTTGCAGCCCAGAAAGCCAATCCTATCCTGGGCTGCATCAAAAGAAGCGTGGTTAGCAGGTTGAGGGAAGCAATTCTCCCCCTCTACTCTGCTTTTGTGAGACCTCGCCTGGAGTACTGCATCCAGTTCTGGGGTCTGCAGTACAAGAAAGAGGTGGACCTGTTAGAGTAAGTCCAGAGGAGGGCCACAAAAATGATCAGACAGCTGGAACACCTCTCCTATAAAGACAGGCTGAGGGAGTTGTGGTTATTCAGCATGAAGAAAAGGCTCTGGGGAGACCTTATTGCAGCCTTTCAATAATTAAAGGGGGATTATAAGAAAGATGGGGAAATACTTTACAAGGGCATGTAGTGATGGCACATGTAGTAATGGTATTAAACTGAAAGAGATATGAGATAATGGAAAGATATATTACATATAAGGAAGAAATTCTTCACTGTGAGGGTGGTGAGGCGCTGGAACAGGTTGCCCAGAGAAATTGTGGATGCCCCCATCCCTGGAAGTCCTCGAGGTCAGGTTGGATGGAGCTCTGGGCAGCGTGATCTAGTGGAAGAAGGTGTCCTTGCTCGTGGCATGGGTGTTGGACTAGACAATTTTTAAGGTCCCTTCCAACCCAATCCATTCTGTGGATCTATGATTCAATGCTTACTTTTTTTTAAAAAAAAAAACAAAGGAAATATGAAAATCTGCTTTATATGTAATTCTAACTCACAGTCACTAATGTCCTTGAAATATGTTCATACTACACAAAGTCAGTATCTGTTTAGCCTATGCTTTAGGTTTTAAAAATTGCTAAAATTAAGGTATGGGTCTTAAAATACAATCATTATTTTATGACTGTTACAGAAGTTGTAAAAATCTAGTTTACTACTCTATACAGACTTGTGGGATTTTTATTTTTTTTTTGAAAACTGCAGGAACTATATATAGAAACAATGATGAGAAAGTCTTTTAGTATTTTAGCTGTCTTTATTGAACTTAGAATGCAGAAATACAATTAAATTTAGTACTACGTGACTTGAAAGTTTTGTCCATACATCACAGTATATCTAGCTAAAAATACTAATCTAGACTGCTCTAATTTTGGCACAACTTACCTGAAAACATGCATATAAGGAAACAGAAAAAAAATCTTTGCATGTCACTTATTTGAACATTACTTTTATAGACTAAATACAGACTTTTTATACACACACACACAAGAGAACTTGGCTCTACGTAATTTCATTCTAACATATGGGGCAATGAGACATGGATGTTTAGACTTTAATAGACGAATTTATATGTTATTCACCTCTTCTGAACCACTGCCTGATGAGGCTATCATTTGCTGTTGTTATTTCTTGATCATTATTGATCCCTGCACAGCAAGTATATTTTGGACTGGACTTCCAAAACTGAATTGGAATTCAGATACAAAAGTCACTTAAACATGTTGAAACTTTACAGTTTACCACATATTTACTTTTCTTAACATGAGCAGCATCACTGTTAAAGTCACAGAATAGTTGAGGTTGAAAGGGACCCTCTGGAGGTCATCTGGTCCAAGTCCCCTGCTCAAGCAGGGACACCTAGAGCAGGTTGCCCAGGACCATGTCCAGGCAGCTTTTGAAGATCTCCAAGGAGAGAGACTCCACAGCCTCTCTGGGCAACCTGTTCCACTGCTCCATCATCCACACAGTAAAAAAAGAAAAAAAAAAAAAGTGTTTTGTGATGTTGAGACAGATCCTCCTGTGTTTCCATTTGTGCTCATTGCTTCTTGTCCTGTTACTGAGCACCACTGAAAACAGCCTGGCTCTGTCCTCTTTGCATCCTCCCTTTGGGTATTGATAATATCCTCCCTGAGCCGCCTTTTCTCCAGGCTAAACAGTCTCAGCTCTCTCAGCCCTTCCTCACAGGAGAGATACCCCAGTCCCTTAAAGAAGTATCTCAGTGTTATTAATTAAAAAAAAAAATACTCCCTATAAAAATACTGCATGTATTAATAATATTGGATAGCATTTTAAAGTAGCGAGACTTCTGCAGAAAATAATGTTACATGAGAATTGCTGGCACACTTTTAACAGTAAATATAACAGTAGCTGTGCAGGCCTCTATAATTAAGATAAAATGTTTGTAAAGTAAACTTTTAAACTGATCCAGATAAGTCTTTTCAGGCTGCTTAGTTGATATATGTTAGCTTCATATGGGAATACTGAAGTACATGAACAAAAAAATAAAAGAGAATCCTTAACAGTCTTTGAGTCACAGAGAAACAGAGGAGAGTTTGGGTAATTTTCAACCACTGGATTTAAGAGATTTCTAAATAACAGTTTATTTCTAATTTTAGCAAACTTTTCCCCATACAGAAAACAAAACGTATGTAAGCCTGAAATTGTTGTACAATGACTTATTGATATGAAGAAACTAAGCACTAGAGAAACAACTTAAATAAAATTTTAGAAATAATGTCACTTTGTCTTGAAAAATATACAATAAGTTAATAGGTGCTTCTGCATGACAAAAATAGCTAACTAAATATGAACAAACATGAGAATTTAAGAGCTCAGTGATTATGAGAGCTAAGCATGCATATTCACTAACCCAATTCTGTTAAAATTCTAATTAAAAATGCTTTGTTTATTCGTTTAAATAAAGGCTGCTCTTGAAGCTACTCTGTACAGTGCTTTTTCCCCAGAAAGGGTTCATGTCTTATTTTACCTCAGATCCATCAATTTTTGGTGGTTTAGCTTGAACTTGTTTCTTCTCTCCAGATGTGTCAGATTCTGATTCTGACTGACTGCTGGACTCTGAACCAGACTCAGAATCACTGCTACCTGACTGACTGCTACTTCCATCACTACTGCTTCCAGAGCTTGAACCAGATCCAGAAGCCGATGTTGACCCAGAATCATCATCTGACTGGCTGCAATCAGAAGATAGCAGGATATTATACAATGGCTAAGTAAACAGGATTTTAAAAGTCACATTAAAAAGACTTTAGCTTCACCTATAAATCAGTTGTTAAATTAGCCCCCGCACATGGATAGCATACAAATGAATGTACTGGAGTAAGGCAGGAGTGAAAATTCAAAGTTTAATTAGATACTTTTCAGCAAACAAAAAAAGCAGGAAACAGAAAATGAACTCAGAGGAGTCAAGCAAGGGTATTTCTCACCCACCCAAACCCTTACTTAGCTTTATCAAACCTCACGTGTTTTTGCATATATTTGTATACATATATATACACACATGCACACATATACATACACACACATACACGATTGTTTTAAAAATCTTTTTAGATCAGCAATCGTCACCTCTGTCATCCCCTCCATATTTTTTTTGAGCACACATTCCTTTAAGGAAAATATAATCTCAGTTTTGTTTCCCTAGTTTGACTTTTTTCATGAAAAAGTAGGGAAAAAAAATCTTTGAGGAAGTACTAGAAACCCACATTTCATGTTATTTGGACCAACTATATACAAAATACTACTAAACATTTTAAACATCAATGTATTTATAAAAGTAACTGGAAAACAAGAAATGTATTGTCACACATAATATAAATCCACACAGACCATCTTATTCTGTTAAAAAAACAGCAGTAAAATTCCCCACACAGACAAATTCTGAATGATTTGTGCCAAGACACTTAGCATATTGAGTCACTGGATTATTCCACCTGTACATTCATTTTATATTAGATTTTAAATATTTTTCTTTTAAAATACGTTAAGTTAAACATTTATTTCATGACTATTCAAAACCAGAAACATTTGTTTTTCTAAAATAATTTCACAAAGGAACTGAGTTGAAACTTTAATCAAATTCCTCATTAGGTTAAATACTACCCTATATCAAATATACGAGAGAAAACATTGGAATCACTCCACCACACAGCAAAATAATTTTAAATTATGTATAGTTCGGCTGCAAGTATTTAAAAAGGAAACAAACAAACAAACAAACAAACAATAAAGATAACAAAAAATCCCAAACAATAAAAACCCTAAAGCTGATATCAAAGTCTAAGCCTATCACTGTTAGCACATTTCATCTGGCTGGCAGACAATGGGAACTGATCATCTTCTGCACTAGAACACACTTGACTGACATTTAAAGTCACAAAACAAAACCACTACTCTCCCTATTGTTGCTAACACAAATTAAACTGAATTTATTGAGGAAAAATAAATTCACAAACTGATTCCTGTAGACAGTACCTCAATAAATAATCTGCATCTGCTGACTTTGAAAAAAAGAGAAAGAAACAAACCATGGTGAAGCTTCCTTATTTGGAAGTACGGGATATGGAGAAATACAACTGCTGGGTTTACTCATACTTCCTGAGGAGAAAACTGGGAAATAACAAAATTGCTTCCTCCAAACTTCCCATTCCTGTCATCAAGGGCCTGCTTCAGGCAGGATGCTGTAACACTAACAGATTAACTTGGTTTGCAAAATAAAGCAAGGTACTCACTGTAGAATATAACTGTTCAAACTATTTACCAGAAATTAAGGGCAGCATCCATCATGATTTACCATAAACTTTTTAATATAATAGTATTCTTGTACACAACTGTTACCTTACCTTTAATGATGGGTAACTTAGTAACTTAGATGGGTAAATGTCACGTGGACTGCAGAAGACAGCACTAACTACAAATGAAGAAAATTCAGCAAGGAGAAACAGCGAGACACAAGTAAATACCTGCCAAATAAGTCCTTGTGAGAAAATGCCACCAAAAACTCTTAAAACCTACATACCCTTGCAGAAAAGGAGGGGAATCAAATACCTTCATGCAGGAGGACAAGGCTCGTCCAAAGTTGCCATACTCGTGGCAATAACATGGATTACCAAATCTAATAAAGGCACAAACACTGAGCCACAAGTATGGTGATGATTAGGTTAGCTTTCCACAGAAAGGTAAAATATTTCACATGCACTAATATAACACTACCCATAGGTTCAAGTACATATAGGGCCAAAGACAAACAAAACAAAGGTAGAGGGGTGGGGGTAGGAAACTGCAACTGAAATAAACCATATTGGGCCAAACAAGTTGCCAATATTCTGAAAAACAAACTAGATACAGGAGAGAACTGGTAAAGACCAAAGGAAAAAAAAAAAAACCTTTCTAATGTATCTAGATAAATAAGCAAAATTCATGTCAATACGATACACAATTGATGGGAAATTTTAACGATTTAATGTTTTTCAAGACAGGAATTAAGTGGCAAGTACAAAAAAAGGATTGTAAAATAGTAGGAAAAAAGTCTAAATAGATAGTGTAAATAGTTGTTCAGTAGTTGAATCTAAAAAGCTAAACTGAAATCTTTTCCTTTCTGAAGAGATCAACTAGCTATCTTCTATGCTCTCCAGTAAGTAATACCAATCCACCAACAAATGTAGATCATACAATATTCAGTGTTCAGACAAAATACATAGACTCTATATCTTGCCAACATTGCCTCTTAACAATGGCTGCCTGGAAATGGATCCCCCACCGGGCTTAGTGCTTATTATGTTGATCCTGCTATCTCATGATCCCTGCTTCTCAAAATAAACTGACCTGAGCAGGGTAATATTACCAGACTGCATATCAACTAATAGTAACATCTGAAAAGAGCAAAATTTTCAGTATTTAGTCAGTATTTAACTTAATTATTAATAAATACAAAACTACAAAAACAAATTGGTAGCTAGAAGAAAGAGGGATGAGGACACAAAGAAAGGAAATTACAAGAAACAAGATCATAAAATCATAGAATATCCCAAGTTGGAAGGGACCCATAAGGATCATCAAGTCCAACTCCTGGCATCACACAGGTCTGCCCAAAAGTTTAGACCATGTGACTAAGTGCACAGTCCAGTCACTTTTTAAATTCAGACAGGCTTGGTGCAGTGACTACGTCCCTGGGGAGCCTGTTCCAGTGTGCAACCATCCTCTTGGTGAAGAACCTCTCCCTGATGTCCAGCCTAAACTTCCCCTGCTTCAGCTTAACACCATTCCCATAGGTCCTATCACTGGTGTTTACAGAGAACAGGTCACCTGCCTCTCCACTCCCCCTTGCGAGTGTGTTGGTGTCCTGGTTTCAGTTAGAACAGAATTTTCTTCCTAGTAGCTGGTGGAATGCTGTGTTTTGGCTTGGTATGAGAAGAGTGCTGATAACACCCTGATGTTTTAATTGTTGCAGAGCAGTGCTTATACCAAGCCAAGGACATCTCAGCCTTTTGCTCTGTCCTGCCAACAGGCAGGCTGGGGGTGCAGTAAGAGCTGGGAGGGGACAGACCCAGGACAGGTGACCCAAACTAGCCAAAGGGGTATTCCATACCATCTGACGTCATGCTAAACAATATATAGGGGTGGCTAGCCAGGGAAGGGGGCCGGACTGCTCGGGGTTAGGCTGGGCATCGGTCAGCGGGTGGTGAAAAATTGCATTGTGCATCACTTGTTTGTACATATTATTATTCGTAGTACTATTATCACCACTGTATTATTATTATTATTATTATTATTTTCCTGTCTTATTAAACTGTCTTTATCTCAACTCACAGGCTTCACTTTCCATTTCTCTCCCCCGTCCCAGAGAGGGAGGGGGAGGGTGAGCGAACGGCTGCGTGGTGTTTAGCTGCCGGCCGGGTTAAACCACGACAGTTGGGTCTGTCGGAACTCTTTCGAGTGAGGCCCCGAGCAACAACAGGCCTTTGAACAACTCAAACAAGAAATAGCTCGTGCAGTAGCCCTTGGGCCTGTTCATGCCAGACCAGCTGTGCAAAACATACTTTACACTGCAGCTGGGGAGCATAGGCTCACCTGGAGCCTCCGGCAGAAGACCCCAGGAGAAACTCCAGGCTGACCTCTGGGGTTCTGGAGCCGGGACTATTGAGGATCAGAAGCCAATTACACCCCAACTGAAAAGGAAATATTAACAGCATATGAGGGGATTCAAGCCGCTTCAGAAGTTGTGGGTACAGAAGCACATGGCCCCATGGCTACCTGTGTTACATTGGATGTTCAAAGGGAAAAGCCCCACTACACACCATGCAACCGACGCTACGTGGAATAAGTGGGTAGCGTTAATTACACAGCGGGCTCGAATGGGGAAACCTAATCGCCCAGGAATCCTGGAGGAGATTATGGACTGGCCAGAGGGCAGGGATTTCAGAGCACCAACAGAAGAGGTAACTCATGCTGAAGAGGTACCACCATACAATGAGTTGCCAGAAGATAGAAAGCAGTATGTGTTGTTTACTGACGGATCCTGCCGTGTGGTAGGGAGCCATCAGAAGTGGAAAGCTGCTGTGTGGAGTCCCACACGACAAGTTATGGAGGCCATGGAAGGGGAAGGTGAGTCGAGTCAGTATGCAGAAGTGAAAGCTATACAACTGGCCCTAGAAATTGCTGAAAGAGAAAAATGGCCAGTTCTCTATATCTACACTGACTCGTGGATGGTAGCAAATGTTCTGTGGTGGTGGCTGCAACAATGGAAACAGAACAACTGGCAGAGCAGAGGTAAACCTATCTGGGCCGCTACCCTGTGGCAAGATATTGCTGCCTGGGTAGAAAACCTAGCTGTAAAGGTACGTCATGTAGATGCCCATATGCCTAAGAATCGTGCCACCGAAGAACAACAGAACAACAAAGAAGTAGATCGAGCTTCGAAAATTGAAGTGGCTCAGGTGGACCTGGACTGGGGACGTAAGGGTGAGCTGTTTGTAGCTCGATGGGCCCATGAAACATCAGGACATCTGGGGAGGGATGCCACATACAGATGGGCTCGTGATCGAGGGGTGGACCTGACCATTGAGGCCATCACACAGGTTACCCATCAGTGTGAGACCTGTGCTGCAATCAAACGCGCCATGAGGGTAAAGACTCCCTGGAACAGGGGGAGATGGCTTGGATTTCGATATGGTGA